CTTATTAGTAGAGAGAGAGAGAGAGAGAGAGAGAGAGAGGAGGGAGGGAGAGAACACTTAACATAATTAGGTGAGTGTTTACAGATATCCGGAGAGCTGTGGAGGGTTTGTACTGTTCTTCCTTACTGAGAGGCCGAGTGACTGGGCGGACGTCTGACCATTTAACTTATCAAGTGTTTACAGCTGCCATTGTCCCTGGGCCTGCTTGTTAGTTATGTGGGTTTCTGCCTCAGCTGCTAACTGAATTTTTAACTCCTTGCCTAAAAGTTCCCTCCCGTTTGACAAATCGAACTCCCAAGTGAGATGTAGTCAATACTTTAATGCTTTGGTTTACATGATCTGTCTTAGGGTTACCTAAGGGAGGTGGGTGAGGGGAGGAAGAGTGGAGTTGGCGAAAGGGAGCAAAGGAAGGAAGCATAGTGAGATTTTTAAGCATGTGTCTCAAGTACCCGCACATGACAATAGAGGTTAGTAACACAAATATAGAAGCAGCAGCGGCTGTTATTTGTACAATAGTTTACCAGACTTTGGGGTTGTAAGATGCATTACGAACAGGATCCTTCCGTCGGGTGATGGTTTGATTGAAGAGTTGAACTTGGATGCCACCTTTAGTGATGCTGTTATGAACGGTGGCAGATGCAAAAGCAGCAGCCAGGACCACTTTGAGTAGCAGCTCCTTGGCCAGTTGAATCGGTGTGTTGTCCAGATATTGGTTGTCATACCACCGAGGAGCCGTTGTGATTCCAGTCAACACATGGCCGGGGAGGTGCACATCACCTAGGGTAAATGAGTCAGTAATCTGCAGGCACATGGAAGTGTTTGTCTGCCACTGCAGTCGTCCGTACATGTAGTCAGATGCAGCGGTGATAAAACACTACTGAGTAGCGGATACTTGCACAGCAGGTTCAGCATGCATAAGAGGAAGGACATCCACAACAATAGAAGAAGATGGAGATAAATATGGAGAATAGAACAGGAACACACGATATAGCTATTTGTCTCTGTGCAACAGTCCAATGTTGTCATTAGTATGGTATTGGGGGGGATGGTGTCAGGTATTCAGACAGCCCTACTTTGTACATTGTATTGTTAGTTACATATCCAATAGACTTAAAATGGAAAGAAGAAGAAAACACATGAGTAGGAATAACAGAGGGATACACAAGGAGGAATTTAAGGAGAAGGGTGAGTCTGGAGGAAGTAAAGAGGCCACTATCAATTGAGTGGAAACGCTTGCAATGTGGGCAAGGGTGGGGGAAGAAAGGGTATGGGAAGGGGGGAAACCCAGGCATACATCTAGCATGTCTTCTCTTGCAATGTTAAATATGTCACGAGCCAACATATCACAAGCACAGCCTTTAGATTGTGACTTGGCCAGGTTGACTATAGCGTCTGAGGTCTTTTTAATGATTTTGTAAAATACTTTATTGCTACATCAATTGCAGTAAGAGCATAGGATAAACCTGTGTTAGTATGTCTAAGGGCTTGGGTGGTTTGGCTTTTTACCCAAGAATTGTATGACCTCTCAGAATTTAGGTTAAGCGTATTTAGTATAGAATTGGTGTTTCCAAAAAATCCTCCAATATTACTTAACATACTACGTTTTTGTCTTTTGGCTGTGCGGGCCTGAATAACATATTGGTGCGTTAGAAACTGTAGCTGGTCCCAACTGTTAGGTTAATAAAACGTACCCAACCCTCACACAAACATTCACACCGATACTCTCCCAACCCATTAGCGGCCTTATAAACGTTGTGAATTTCGACCGATCCATCCAAGGCCCTGGAAATAGAATGGTTTGTTTGTTCTAGAGGAGTATTTGTAAATTGACATTCTGTCCTTCGGTTTTCAACATTCTGGGACCCAGGTGTTGGTTTTGTCAGTTTTGCAGGCATTTATAGTCCATGTCCATTTTTCCTCTTTCGGACATTGCTCTTGTATCTCAGGTAGAGAAATTTGCTTTAAATTAAGAATTTGGGTGGCTGCTACTCAGAAATTGTCCTGGGGCATTGTGGCAACCTCTTTAGCCGCCTTGTTTGTGGCTGTATTTGCAAAAGAAAGAGGGGTCATTGTTTCTGGTATGTGCCTTGATTTTTACTACAACCACTTTGGATGGTTTTTGGATTGTTTCCAATAAATTTGTAATATACCCCCATTTTTAAGAGGGGTACTGAAGGAAGTGAGGTACCCCCTGTTAGTCCAGGAATTTAAATAATTATGAACCACCTAGGAACGGGAAACCGGTATGCCTCACTGAAGTAAAGAGTGAATAATGTTACCTTCTGCATCCACGGCCTCAGGTTTGAGAGGATATTGGTTGGTAGGTGGAGGGAGTTGCCCGATAACCTGGATGGGTGGGCAGATATGAGCAGGCACCAATCCGCAAGACAGATTATTTTCTGCCCAAACAGAGGGGAACCTGGAACATAATTCTTGAAAAGGGTTAGAGGTGTCCCAAGTGAGAGCCACAGACTTGGCAGTTGCAACAGAAGAGAAGAATTTATTATTACGAAGAGGAATGGTATGAGTACGTATACGGTTATTAGTATATCGGTTGGGGCCGGTTGCCCAGGGCTACTCGGCTTGGGCTTCCAGCTGCCCAATGTCTGGTTTCCCCACATACAAAACACTGTAGGGTAGGGGGGCAGTGGGGGTGGGACCAAGACCAGATTGAAAGGGCAGTGAAGTACTGTGGGGATTTAACTGGCCATGGTTTTGTCCCTGACTAGGCTTTTGGGCCTTGTTCCTACAGTTTTTTGGGGTATGCCCAAGACACCCACAATTAAAACTGGTTTCAGTGGTAGCCGTGTTAGTCTGTATCAGAAAAAAAAATGAGGAAAGGACTCCTCGTTTGTTTTTCACAATTATAACAGGTTACATTACCTTTTGCTGTTACCACAGAAACGCAAGTGGACTTGCTTTTTATATTTTTAGCTTGCTTGGCTTCGCATTCAGAGACCCACATACAGATGGATTCATAATTAGAGCCTGGGTTCACCCCCAAGTTAAGGGCTGTTTGCAGGTGGGAGTTAAAACTTTTCTTCAACATTTTTAGAAATGCCTGATTAGGTTTTTTTGGATCGGCAATGCCTGCATTACTTGAATACGTCTCCCATTTCCGCTCATAGGATTGAGCAGCAGGCATGTCCTTGCCTTATACGCATCCCACTATTAGTCCCCAATTACTGGCTCCGTTCACCAAGGCATTTTCGACGGCTTTCTTAAAATTAGTGCAGGCACGAATGATATTATTTTTTTATTTAAATTTGATGGTGGCCCAAGTATCGTTTCAGTGTTCTTCTGAGGGGATTTTGACCCATGAAAGCTCGGGACATTTAGTTTTAGTTAGGATATGAAGATCCCTGGGATGCATTGCATAGGTGGTAATCATTTGACTTATTTTTTTTTAAATGCTAAATGTGGGTCTTTGGGCTTCAGATTTTTCAATAAGCTCTTTATTTTCTTCGTGCTGAGAGGAGTGTATAAGTATTATGAGCCATTTTGTTATTTGCTGGCCCTGACCACCGCGTGGTTACTTGGAGTTGGGCCAGGGGAACCATTGCACTTAATTCTGGGTTAAAAGGAGGGGGAGGAGGTCAATTACCCCAATTTTCCCCCGTGTGTGCCAGGTTTCAATCCTGGATTTGTTTTTTTAAGGTGTTTCCAATTGATCTCCTTTTAGTCTTTATTAGTATTACTGCCTGAACCAGAGTCAGTAAAATTACCCTTCTGTTGTATGCTAGCAGCAATACGGCATGCAGAGGAGCTGCTTTTTATCATTTTTGCTTTTAGAGTATTGTTTTTTGCTTGAAGCTTACTTAATTTGTGGTTTTAATTTGTTTTTTGGTTCAGCTTTGATGTAAGAGTTTTTTGGAGCGTTTTTAATTTCCGTAACTTTTTTTTTATATTTCCAGTACAGTATTACGATTTCTTTTTAAAAAAATTTTTCTTTGACCAGACCACCACAATACGCTATCCTTCACGCTTATACCCTCATTTCATTTATTTTTTGCCATAGTCTTTGAATCTTTTTATGTTTTTTTAAAAATAAAATGAACAATTCTTCCTCCCGCATAGGGTATTATTGATGCACTCTGGGGCAAGTCATACGATATTGTTTCACAGCTTTCTGAAATCCACTGGTTTCAAGGGAACCGACAGAGCACACCCTTGTTCTCAGCACTACTGAAGCATGCTCTGATGCTCAGTACTTGGTGCTGCAGCTTTCCCCTACAGCGGTCCCTGCAACCCGAAAACCCTGGCCACAAACACAATCCTGTTCAGTCCTCTTGTTTGTGCGTCCTATATGTGAGTCGTATTAAAAAAAAAGGGGGTGCAAAGGGGTGCCTTGGGGAGTCCCAAACCAAGGTGTGTACTAGAAGTGGTAAGTAAAACGGTACTCACCTCTATTCCTGGTTGTGAGACGCTCTCCGAGGATTCCCGATCACACCCTGCTCACTGCTCCAAACTGTGAAGCAAGGAGATTCTTTCCCCCAAGAATCAGGCAGCACAGACAATATTGAAGAGGTTTATTCACGGCACTGGGAAGTCAGATAAACAGCTTCAAAAGTATGATGTTACAGTGACCAGTTATATACATTTTCTCATTAATCCATTTGCATTTATTGTGTACTTACAGAGACAAACATTGTTTCAGCGAGAGAGAGGGAGGGAAAGAACACTTAACATGATAATGGCAGGAACAGAACATACGCATAGAAACCATGCTGATTACATCAATTATTTATGACTACCCTGAAAGCGAAGGGATGGGGTGGTAGGGTCAATAGCAGATATGCCATGGCGCCGGGCCCACGGTCCAAAAGGGCCCATGGCGGCCGCTCTTCTCTGTGTAGGGGGGAGAAGTGGAGCAGCGATGGCATGCTCGGGGAGGGGGCATAGCAGAGGTGAGCTGGGGTGGGGAGCTCTGCGGCAGCTCCCCCCTCCGCCCTGAAGCATGCCCCCCCATGCTCCCCACCACCTCAGCCCAGGGAGCCGTGCGGCAGCTACCCCCCACAACTCACCTCTGCTACGCCCCCTCCCCGAGCACGACATTGCTGCTCCACTTCTCCCGCCTCCCAGGCTTGCGGCACCAATCAGCTGTATGGCACTGCAAACCTGGGAGGGGAAGAGAATTAGAGTGGGGGCGGCATGCTTGGGGAGGAGACGGAGCAGAGGTGAGCTGGCGTGGGGAGCTGCCACACGGCTCCCTGGACCGGGGGGTGGGGAGCTGCCATGAGGGGAAAATTGGGGGCACCGCTTTTTGGCACCCCCAAATCTTGGTGCCCACAGCAACCGCCTAGTTCACCTTAATGGTAGCACTGGCCCTGTGTTTAGGGCCCTCAGAAGGGGGCTCACACTACCAGATATACATTCCTATCCCAACCTCTCTCAATTCACTGGGTTTTGGAACCCATGTCCCTTGCCTAGCGAGTGCAAATCAGTTGAGGGTGAATCCCTCCATCATAAACCCCAAGTACAGTTCTACTGTCCTTGATTCACATAACCTGAATAACAACACTTCATTACTCCTGCCCCAATAACAAAGAGACTGGGGATCCCACAGCAGCCAAAGTGACCATTTGGGAAAGCAGTCCATCATGCTAGGCAAGGGTGGGTGTGCGCTGAAGTCCTCACCACCAGATGTCAGGGTAGAGCCCATTCTGACTCTGTTTACACCTGAGCCCCCTGGTTAGTGAGTTCAGTTCAGTTGTGGATGACCCCCTCAGTCAGGGCAGGCTAAGCACATTGCTGCTGCCCTTTACTCAGACAATCAGGACAACAACATTTCATACCCCTGCATTCAGGTACTACAGTGATTGTAACCCAGGATCAGCCAACACAGCTCTGTCTGCTGGATACCTAGGCAGAGTGGGTGTGTTTTGCAAATACCAACTGCTCCTGAACCTTTCCCCCTCCCCAGCTCATTACTCGCTATCAGGGGAGAGCTCATTCCCACCTTGCTTACCTCTAGCTTGTTCATCCATCTGAATGTGCATCCTCAAGGTCCAGTCTTCTAAAGGGGCTCTCCTCCACCACGTGTGACTGCCTGTATTGCTGCCCCTCAGGCACACTGAGAAGATCAGGCTAAGCCACGTTTCTGAATTGCAGCAATTCCTCTGTCCAGTCCAGTCAGGGGCCCATTAAGCTGAACCCAGGATCTGCATACCAGGTTGTAAATGGGCAGATACAAGTTAGGGCTTCTGATAAATCCATCAGCATGCCAGTCTCTCTATCCAGGAGTTGCTGCCCCTGTGTGAGGACACAGCTGTCAGCCCAGCTCTGCCATCATTCATCTGAGACTGGTACTGGGTTAGCAGCACTAGACAAGAGTGGAGCAATGGCTGCCACAAAGCAATGTTGCCAAGTCAGTCGTGGCAAGTCAGCAGGAACCGCAGGGGCAGGTGTTTGCTTCAGGAGGGGGCCGATCTGCTTGTAGGAAGTGTGCATTGCCTCTGCCCTGATTGGAACCATTGTCAGCCTGGTGCGCAGCAGGTTCCTGCCAGCTGTCCAGGCAATTCTAAGGGAGATGGACTCTGGGTGACGTTTTCAGGGAGCTATGGAACCAACACATGTAAATTCGATGCTAATATCAGGCTAAGGCAACTGCTAATGACACGGGTGACTGTGCTCAGCTCCCAGTCATCAAGATGCTTATCCCAGCGTCTGCCCCACAGCACTGCAGAGAATACCAGTGCCAAGAGTGAGGGTGTAAATCTGCTCCCCAGGAGGTTCTTACCAGCAGTGTGGGGGGTGATCTTTATAAGTGCTCTAATGGGAGGAGTAGGTCAGAGTGCCTTCCAGTCTGCCTAATTAGGTGACAGCCTAATTAGGTGACAGTTGGCTGGGAGGGGAGTGGACAAACTTCAACATTGCTCAAGTGATTAGCCTGGTCAGTGGTGAGGAGCCCTTGACAGGCAGTGGCTGTGTGCAGAGACCAGTCGTATCCATTGGTGGGAGGCGCTACGTTCCCCAGAGACATGAGAGATCAGATGCACAGGAACCTCATTGAGAGTTTATTCCCTTGGTTGTTTGCAGATGCTGGCATATCAGAAGTGGTTCCGCTCCGACTGGTGAACAGCCCAAGTCACTGCGCTGGGAGGGTCGAGGTGCTTCACAACCAGAAGTGGGGAACCGTGTGTGATGACCGCTGGGACTTACAGGATGCCGGAGTCGTGTGCAGGCAGCTGGGCTGTGGGACGGCATTATCAGCCCTAGGAGGGGCTCGATTTGGACAAGGATCTGACCGTATCTGGCTGGATGACGTCAACTGCACCGGGACAGAAGCTGTCCTCTCCGATTGCAGGGCTCGGCCTTGGGGAGACAGTAACTGTAACCACAGAGAAGATGCCGGTGTTGTGTGCTCAGGTAACTTGCATCCATCATGTCACTGTGGGTGGTGCAGGGATGGGGCTGGGAAGCTTTCAGGAGAGACCCAGCTCGCCTGTCTGAGTCAGCGCTGATCCTAGTGCCCCAGCATGGTGCTACGGGCCAGTACTGTAAGGAGTCATTTTGGAAAGTAAGTGTCTTTCTTCCCATGGTATCAGTGCTGACCCCATTTCCCCTCACAGTTCTACATGCCTGTGCTCCAGGGAACAGGATGGGGGATCAGGAGGGGGTGCTGTCCCATCAAAGTCAGTGCTGGGCCAGTGACCCAGCACACCACTTAGGGTCTGTGCTGCAGGGAGCAGTATTTGTTAGTCTGTGAGAGACCCTCCTGGCTACAGCACAATGGGGTGTTGGGTAACCATAGATCCCATTTGTGTGATTTGGGGATGAATTGATCCTGCAGCCACTCAAGGATCGCTTAATGATGTTTGGAGTTTCTATCTATGTCACTCTGGGTGATTTACATCTCAGCTAATTACCCATAAAGTGGTAATATGCCCCACTGTTCTTCCTCACTTCCTCTCCTACACAGCTTATGAGTTTCTGTGCCCTGCCTCTCATCTACCCTGTTCCATGCTACAGGTGGCTGCATGGTTGTGGTGGGGAGGAGGGCTGTGAAGTTATTAAAAAGTTAATCGTGATTAATGGTGAGATAAAAAATTAATCATAATTAATCACATAATTTATTACACCTTTACACAATAATAGAGTACCATTTATTTCATTTTTGGGATGTTTTCTACATTTTCAAATATATTTATTTCAATTAGAACACAGAATTCAAACTGTACAGTGCTCACTATATATTTATTTTTGATTACACATATTTGCACTGTAAACAAGAAACAAAACAAATATTATTTTCAGTTCACCTTATACAAGCACTGTAGTGCAATCTCTTTATCAGGAAAGTTTTGTTTACAAATGTAGAATTATTTACAAATAATAACTACAATCAAAGATAAAACAATGTAAAATTTTAGATCCTACAAGTCCACTCAATCGTACAGCTTGTTCATCCAGTCTCTCAGACAGACAAGTTTATAAACAAGATGCAAGCAGCATTATCTCCTGCAAAGGTAAACAATGTTACCTGAACATGAGAACAGGCATTCACATGGCACTGTTTTAGCTGATGTAGCAAAATATTTGTGTGCCAGATGCAGTAAAAATTCATATGTCCCTTCATGCTTGGACTACCATTCCAGGGAACGTGCGTCCATGCTGATGATGGTTTCTGCCCGATAACCATCCAAAGCAGTGCAGACCTACAAATGTTCATTTTCATCATCTGAGTCAGATGCCAGCAGCGGAAGGTTGATTTTCTTTTTTGGTGGTTCAGGTTCTGTAGTTTCCGCATTGGAGTGTTGCTCTCTTAAGACTTCTGAAAGCATGCTCCACACCTTGTCCCTCTCAGATTTTGAAAGGCACTTCAGATTATTAAACCTTGGGTCGAGTGCTGTAGCTAGCTTTAGAAATCTCACATTGGTACTATAATGTTCCCCTCTGGTGTTATCTGGACCACTTATCTGGTAGGTCACTCAAATTCTTGACTCTGGGAGCCAGCCTTACCCTGCTCTGCTGTGAGAACCCCCACTCCTGGGCTGTTCACACACAGCCTCTGACATGTAAGCTGTTCCTTGTATCGTGCAACTGAATGACACTAGCCAATATCGCCAGTCCCAGACAGAGCCCTAGAAACCTCGGTCTTGCAGTGTCCAGTTATCCCCACTGGATGCTGCAAGCTTATGTAAGTTCGCCAATTTTACAAAGAAATTGGTATGCACCAGGCTTGTTATCCCAAGGGGAGTCTCTGACACGCTTCAGACCAAACACACTGCTTCACGTAGAACAAACAAACTGAGTTATTAACTATGAAGATAGATTTTAAGTGGTTATAAGTCAAAGCATAGCAAGTCGGATTTTGTCAAATGAAATAAAAGCAAAACAGATTCTAAGCTGAGCTTAACACTTTTAATGCCCTTTGAAACTTAGATGCTTCTTACCACCATCTAGCTGGTTGCTCTTCAGCCAGGCTCTTCCCTTTAAGCAGCGCTTCAACCCCTTGGTGTGGTGTCTGTCGATGTAGCTGGAAGAGAGAGGAAGAGCATGGCAAACATTTCTCCATTTCTCTTCATGTTCTTTCTTCTCTCTTGGCTTTGCTCCACCCACTTCATGGTCAGGTGAGCATTACTTCACTGCAGTCCCAAACTGACCAAGGGAAGGGGAGTCCAACAAATCCTTTTGTTGCTGCCTAGGCCAGCGTTCTTTGTTCCTGTGAGGCTAGGCTGGATTTGGCCCATACATGCCTTGATGAGGTGTGAACTGCCGTTCTGCTCTTAGAAAGTTTTTGCCTGGGCTTATTTTAAAGCATGAGGATACATTTTCAACCTCATAACTTTATATGTAAAATTATAACCTGTAACTTTGCTATAACATTACTGCAACAACAATTACTATAACATCACTATAACAACAAAGCTCAGTGTATTATGAGCCTTCATAAGAGAACCGACATGACAAACTTTGTATTGGATACCACACAATCATTTTATAAGAATTAACATGGGGGTGCTGGGTGATTCCCGGAGGTACAGAGAGTCACAGGTACCTTCTTTGCGTTTTGTGAAATTTGCAGTGAAAGTGTTCTTAAAATGTACAACATGTGCTGAGTCATCATCCAAGTTTACTGTAACATGAATGATATGGCAGAATGCAGGTAAAATACATAGCAGGAGATAGGGAATTCTCCCCCAAGGATTTCAGTCACAAATTAAATTAACACATTGCTTTTTTAATGAGCATCGTCAGCATGGTAGCATGTCATCTGGAATGGTGGCCGAAGCATGTAGGGACATGTGAATGTTTAGCATATCTGGCATATAAATACCTTGCAGTGCCACCTACAAAAGTGCCATTCGAACGCCTCTTCTCACTTTTGGAAGACATTGGAAATAAGAAGCAGGCGGCATTTTCACCCGTAAATGTAAACAAACTTGTTTGTCTGAGCGATTGGTTGAATGCGAAGTAAGACTGAGATGATGTGTAGGCTCTAAGTTTTCCATTGTTGGGGTTTTTTTTGAGTGCAGTTATGTAACAAAAAATAATAATCTACATTTGTAAATTGCACTTTCACAATAAAGAGATTGCACTACAGTACTTGTATGAGGTGAATTGCAAAATACTATTTCTTTTACTATTTTTACGGTGCAAATATTTGTAATCCAAAATATAGTAAAAACTGTTTTTTTCCAGCACTTCACCAACCGGAAAGCTCTATAAATTGGCATTTCTGATCTTCATTGAAATTCAGGTTTATTATCCTGTTGGCATGGGGCTGTCAGGGTGCTGGTGAACAGAGGGAGGTTTGCAGCGCAGGCTCTGGGAGGGACTTTGGGTGTGGGAGGGGTCTTGGTACGTGGGAGCAGGTGCAGGGTGTTGGATCCAGGGGCCTCTCACCTTGGATGGCTCCCCGTAAGCGGTGACCTGTCCTGGGCTCTGTCTACTCCTAAGCGGAGGCGCGTCAGGTGGCTCTGTATTCTTCCCGCCCCCTGTGCCATCTGCACAGCTCCCATTGGCTCGGAACCACGGACACTGGGAGCTGCGGGCGGAGGGAGTCCACCAACCTGCCTGCCGTGCCTCTGCCTAGGATAAGCCGGGAAAAGATGCTGCTTCTGCCGAGCTGCCTAAGGTGGCCCTAGATCCTGCACCCGATACCATGCCCCAACTCCCTTCTCTGGACCCCCTCCTGCACCCAAAATCGCTCCCAGAGCCCGTGCCCCAACCCCCAGCCCTGCACTCCCTCCCGCACCCAACCCACCTCCCTCTTAGTTAACCAGCATTTTTCATTTACCAGCACCCACCATTCCCCCAACATGCTGGATAAAACAACTTTAACTGCAATAATGTAAAGTGAGAACAGTACACATTGTATTCTGTGTCATAACTAAAATCAATATATTTGAAAATTATAGAAAAACATCCAAAATATTTAATAAATTTCAGTTGATATTGTATTGTTTAACAGTGCGATTAAAACTGCGATTAATCGTGATTAATTTTTTTAATCATTATTGTTTTTTTGAGTTAACTGTCATTAATTGACAGGGAGTGAACCCCTAACAGGATGTTGCAGAGGCTGTTCAGACCTGTCAGTGGGAGGCGCTATGTCCTTCTTTGAGTCATTGTTCATGTGCATTCCAATAGGTGTGTGCGCGCCGCGTGCATGATCATCGTAAGGTTTTTCCCTACCGGTACCCATCAGGTCGGCTGTGGAGACCCCTGGAGTGGCGCCTTCATGAGGTGTATATAGGTCCCTGCCGACCCGCCGCCTGCTCAGTTCCTTCTTAATGCCAGTGACGGTCGTTGGAGCAGCTCAATCTCTTGCACTCGCAAGTGCCTTCGTAGTGGTTTCCTTTTCTTAGTTGTAGATAGCTAATAGTTTGGTATATAGTAGTTTCTAGTAGGTTGGGCTTACTTTGAGGGGCTTTCCCCCCACCCCAGTTTCCCCAGGCACCTGGGCATGCCTCGGTCACAGGAGTTTAAGGCGTATGAGAAGTGTGCGAAACATATGCCCACAGGCGATTCACCGCTCCTTGTCTCAAGTGCCTAGGAGATGGTATCAGACAGACAAGTGTCCAATTTGCAGGAGCTTAAGACTCAGGACTGAGAGAGAGCGGGACTATCATTGAAAGCTCCTCCTGATGGAGTCGGCCCTCCGCCCCCAGCCAGCACCGGAAATGGCACCGGCATCATTAGTGCGTAGTGCTCCGGCCTCGGTGCGGGATGTCCCGGCACCAGGAAAGGCCTCCTCCAAGGAGCACCAGTACCAGGCCAGTGCTACCAGGCGGCACCGCTCACAGTCCCCAGTGCTGCATAAGAAAGAGAAGGCAGACAGGGGTCGTTCCCCCATCAAGAAGCCGCAAGAGGATTCCAGCAGGGTGCGTAATGCAGGAGGACACCCAGGGTCTGGACCTCAAGACCCGGCACTGTTGACTGCAGCCCCAAATGGAAGCCCATCGAATCCGGTACCTCTTCCACACTGCCCCCTGCTCACTGCCCTGCTCTTATACCAGTGCCCCCTCACCCAGAGACGTCTCCCACAGATCCCTATGCCAAACACCCCCTGCCTAGAGACACCTCACACTGACATCCCACCACAACTACACAGCACCCTGCACACCATAGGAGGTGAGAGCTGGAGACGGAGAAGAGTGGGCCTGTTTGGGGCCCCCCTGGAGTGTGGGCCCGGCTCCATGGAGCCAGTGTCTCCATGGTAAATCTGCTACTGCCCAGTGCTGCTTCACCCTAAATAGAGTGTGTCTCTCTTCTGCTTCTGGCCCCAGCCCAGTTATAAGGGCCAGCTGGGCCCTGATTAAGCTGACCACAGCTGTGGTTGCTTTCCCAATCTGCCCAGCTTTCTCCAATGCAGGCTTCTCCAGGGCTGCTTTATACCCTTCAAGCAGGAGTGGGGTGCCCACCCACCTACACCCCCCCCAGAAACATTGGTGGCTCGCCACACTCCCAGGGCTCCTGAGGACCCCGCATGAGACAGGGACTCTGAGCCATCATGCACCCAAACCAGTGCCACTAGTTGTACTGAAGCCACGTCCAGTCACAGGGGGACAGAGGCACTTGACCCAGCCTCGAGAGAGTCAGTAGGGCAAGAAGACCCAGTCCCACGGGCCTCCTCCTCCTCCTCACTGGACGAGGCAGTGGCTGGCACCACCATCACCCTTTGGAGATGGACACCAGGGGACACCAGGACATTCTTAGAAGGGTGTCCCTAAACCTGAATCTTCAGGCAGAGGTGGTCACGGAGGAGTTGGATCCGATGGTGGACATCCTCCAGGGTGGCCTTGCTCCTGGTAAGAATGATCGAGAACACTCCTAGGGTGCTGTGGCAGACTCCAGACTCAATACCACCCACCACTATAGGGGTGGAGAGAAGCTATTTTTTGCCACAGAAATGGTACGAACACCTTTTCACCCACCCCCAACCAGGGACTCTGGTGGTCGATGTGGCAAATCATAAGGAGTGACACGTGCAGCCAGATCCCACCCCAAAGTCACGGAACACTAAGAAGCTGGATTTTTTGGCCGAAACGTCTACTCGACCGGGGGGCTCCAGCTTTGAGTGGCCAACCAGCAAGCTGTACTCAGCCGCTTTCAATTCCTGGAGCTCATGAGCAAAATTCCAGGAGTTGCTCCTGGCGGGCTCGTGCAAGGAGTTTAGCGCGCTCCTCGAGGAGGGCAAAGTAGTCTTGAGAACCTCCCTCCAGGCTGTGTTAGATGTGGCAAACTCGGGAGCTTGGACTATAGACACCGCCTTTACAATGGGGTGCAGAACGTGACTGAAGGTGTCGGGGATACCACGTGAAGTCCAGAACACGATGCAGGACCTCCTTTTGACCGTGTAGGCCTGTTTGCCCAAAGTACGGATTCTTGCCTGCACAGCCTTAAGGACTCGAAGGTGACTTTAAAGCCTTTGGGAATCCACATCTCTGGACCCCAAAGAAAGCCATTTAAGCCTCAGCCCCCATCCCACTTCTACTCTGGGACTCCGAGGCAAGACTCGTGCAGGAGATGGGGCAAGAATAACAGGAGGCGCCCGCCACAGTCCTCCTCAGGCCAAGTCCGGGGTTCGGCCAAACAGCCCCCAGGCCCGAAGCCAAACTTTTGAAGATGCGCTGGAGGACGGAGCATCAGTATCAAACTTGGATCCTTACCCTCCCTTTGTGAATCCATTCTCCCTCTTCTTCCGTGCTTGGTCCAAGATCACGTCAGATCACTGGGTCCTGAGCATGGTATGGATGGGATATTCTATGCAATTCTGTTCCCTCCTGCCCTCCCACCCCTTTCCCCGTTCCTCTTCAGGGACCCTTCTCACAAACAACTCTGCTTGCAGGAGGTACAATCGCTCCTTGTTCTATGGGCAATGGAGGAGGTTCCTCAGGAGTTCAGGGAGAAAGGGTACTACTCCCGCTATTTCCTCATCCCCAAGGCCAAGGGTCAGCTCTGGCCTACCCTGGATCTGTGAGACCTCAACACATTCATCATGAAAGTGAAGTTTCACATGGTTTCTCTGGTATCCATCGTTCCTTCCATGGATCCACGGGACTGGTGTGCCACACTACACTTGAAAGATGAGAACTTTCATATCTACATTATCCAGGCCCACAGACGTTTTCTTCATTTTGTGTTCAGCGGCCAGCACTACCAGTTCAGGGTGCTCCCGTTTGGGCTCTTGGCAGCCCCCTGGGTATTCACAAAGTTTGTGGCGGTCTTTGCAGCTTTATTCCACAAACGTCAGGTGCAAGTATTCCCGTTCATGGACGACTGGCTCATCAAGGCTGAATTGCAAGCACACGCTGCAGAGCGTGTGTCTCTGGCTCGGGCCACCTTCCACAGACTGGGCCTCATATTGAATGTGCCCAAATCCACCCTAGCCCCGACGCAGATAATAGAATTCATAGAAGTTCTCGTGGTCTCCACACGGTCCTGGACGTTCCTGCCCGAGCTGCGCTTCCAAGCACCTCACGGACATTATCAAAAACCTTCGGTGATTCCGGACAACCATGGCCAGAAATTGCATGAAACTGTTGGGGCATATGGCGGCGTCCACATACATGGTCCAGCACACCAGATTACGCCTTTGCTCCTTCCAGGCGTATTTGGCGAGGGTACACAGGTTGGGCAGGGACCCACTGGACCAGATAGTTACCCTTCCCACTCGCATTCTCAAGTCTCTCCACTGGTTGCTGCAGCGGAAGTACCCTTTGCCAAACCCCAACCTACGCTATCGCTAGTCAAGGATGCCTCGGCGCTCCGTTGGCAATATTAGAACCCAAGTCCTATGGTCCCACACAGAACTATCGCTGTATCAGGACTTGCCATAACCCGGCTAAAATTCCAGCCCCTTCGCTTATGGTGCACTCCACGAGAGTACAGGCATCATCCGCAGCATTCCTGGCGCAGGTCCCTATCCAGGAAATATGCAAGGCAGCAACATTGTCCTCTATCCACACCTTCACGTCAGACTACGCCATTACCCAATAGGCAAGGGACGATGCAGCCTTTGGCAGGGCAGTCCTGCATTCCTCAACCAGGTGAACTCTGACCCCTCCCCCAGGGAAACTACTTGGGAGTCACCTATTGGAATGCACATGATCAAATACTTGAAGAAGAAAAATGGTTACCTATCTCTCGTAACTATTGTTCTTTGAGATGTGTTGCTCATGTACATTGCAAATACAACTTGACTCCCCTCTGTCGGAATATTCCGGCAAGAAGGAACTGAGCAGGTGGTCGGTCGGCAGTGAGCAATATACACTGTCATGAAGGCACCAGTCCAGGGGTCTCCACAGTCCACCTGACAGGTACCTCTAGGGGAAAAAAACTTCCAACGATCGTGCATGCAGTGTGTGCACACCTATTGGAATGGACATGAGCAATACATCTTGAAGAACAACAGTTACGAGAGGTAGGTAACCTTTATTGTCACAGCATCACTAGTGATTGGATGCAAAGGAACCTCCCTGAATGTTTATTCCCTTGGCTGTTTGCAGACGCTGGCATCTCAGAAGTGGCTCAGCTCCGACTGGTGAACGGCCCGAGTGGCTGCGCTGGGAGGGTCGAGGTGCTTCACAACCAGCTCTGGGGAACCTTGTGTGATGACAGCTGGGACTTACAGGATGCCGGAGTCGTGTGCAGACAGCTGGGCTGTGGGACGGCGTTATCAGCCCCAGGAGGGGCTCGATTTGGGCGAGGATCTGACCGTATCTGGCTGGCTGACGTCAACTGCACAGGGACAGAAGTTGCCCTCTCCGATTGCAGGGCATGGCCTTGGGGAGAGAATAACTGTACCCATGGAGAAGATGCCGGTGTTGTGTGCTCAGGTAACCTTCATCTACCACCCTGCCTGTTGCAGGGAGCAGGGTGAGAAGCTCATTACTGGGCATTGTCCCCTCACAGTCAGTTCTGACCTAAGCATGGTGCTTGTGGTCTCTGCTTTAGGGCACAATATGATGGTTCCACTAGGGAGACTCTCCTCTGAGTCTGTGCTGACCCTAATTCCTCTGTGCGGGTCTATGTGCCTGTGCTGCAGGGAGTGGTGTGAGGGCTCAGTAGGGGAAGCTCAAGCTGTCCTCTTGATGTCAGTGCCGGCCCCAGTGCCCTAGTGATGTGCTAGGGGGGCTGTGCTGTAGGTTGAGGGGTGTCAGTAGGGTGCACTCTTTGTAGTTGTGCTTGCCCCCCAGTGCAGTTCCATGGGCCCCTAGCATGTGGAAACCTTGTCTGTGCCCGCTGGGGGGCAGCTCCCCGACTCCCTCGGCCAGAGGCCACACAAGCTGTGCCCTCTGGGCCTTGGAGAGGGGGGTGACCTCTTTCCAGGTTGGCAATAGGCACACTTCACCCCTCGGCCCTCCAAGCATCCCCCTGTACCTCCCAGTCCCTGTCTCGATGGGCATTCACAGCAGTCACAGATTTGCTGCTCCCAAAGGAACAGGGTCCCAAGGTGACCAGCTCCACCTCCCATCTCTGCCCCAATCAGCACACAGCTCTAGATCCCTTCATTGGTGTGACTATGAAGGGATCTAGAGCTGTGTTGAGGGGTACCAAGGAGAAGGGTTGGAAAGAAATGGTTCCATGGCCAGTAAAATCATACCACGTTAACTAGAGGCTAGAATCATTGAACAAGATACTTTTCTGTCTGGTAGAACAACACTCACCCCAAGGTACTTCCAGGGTTTTACTCCAGGCTTGGCTGTGATCTCCTGTTCCTGAGACAAACACTATCAGCTGCCTTCTGGGTGAAAGCGAGCTCTTGTCCCCTTTCCTCTTTCTTTGTCGGTACAGACCATTGTCTCTTCCCAGAGGAGGTCTCTCCTCGGAGACTTGTGCTGAGGGTCCTTTGTCTTTGTAAATTATCAGGCCCCTACTGTGCACAGATAGTGAATATAGCCTGTCTCCACAGCTGTGCATTGTTCTATGTGCTGATTGGCTCAGCCGAAGGATTGCCATGGCGCAGGTGACAAGCTTCACTTCAACACTTCTGGAGCCTCCTATTCTACATTTTATATCTCTCTTCAGCTATATCCCATACAAATATTTTGCTCCCATTAGGTCAACCAACGGGCTGCTGGCTCTTGTTAGAGACCTCACATACCACCTCTGGTGAGCTATTGTTCATATATCTCACCCAGGGGATCCCCGTATAAGTCTAGGAATCCCTGTGCCCTCTGCCAGTTGGCGTCTATTTATCCCTGGGCCAGACTCCTCCTCAGCACAATGGGGACCTGGGTAACTGCAGGTTCCACAGGTTGGATGTAGTGTCAACGGAGGCTGCAGCCGCTCACTCAACCTAAAAATCCAGGGCCTATTTCTCAAGACTCCAGTTCCTAATGACTGTGTTCTGGCAGATTTGCATTTCACAGAATTTGTCCTGAACTTGTAACTTTCCCAGGAGCTGGACACAGAACATACAATTCTTCCTCACTTCCTGTTCTACACAGCCTACATATTTCACTGTCGTGTTTCTCAGCTGCCGTGTCCTACCCCAGAGTGGCTCCATGTCAGTGGGGGGAGTCACAAGTCAATATCTATGTGACCCTTCTGCCACTGGCGTCGGAATTGAGGAGGGCCAGATTCAATATCTAGGGGTTCCTTTCCAGCAATATAACGGAGATCTAGCTTGAGCACCCACCCAGTAACCTCAGACAATTACACACCACCACCTGCATGCTGGTACGAGGCAAAGCTTCCCCTCTTGCAAGCAGAAAATAAACTTTTTAATAAAGGAAAAAGAACGAGGAGTCCTTAGAGAATTTTATTTGTGCATAAGCTTTCATGGGTTAAAAGCCAATTCATCAGATGCATTCAGTGAAAATAACAGTAGGCAGTATGTATATTACAGCACATGAAAAGATGGGAGTTGCCTTACCAAATCGGGCATTAGTGGTAACAAGGCCAATTCAATCGAGGTGGAAGTGGCCAGTTACCAACAGTTGACAAGAAGTGGTGAATATCAACAGAGGGAAAACTACTTTTTGTAGTGCTAACGAGACCAATTCAATCAGGGTGGACGTCGCCCATTCCCAGCAATGCCCCTCTGCCATGTACATTATCCAAACTCTACAGTCTCTACGCAAAAGAATAAATGGACACAAATCATACATCAAGAATTATAACATTCAAAGACCAGTAGGAGAGCACTTCAATCTCCCTGTCCACTCAATAACAGACTTAAAAGTGGCCATTCTTCAACAAAAATCTTCAAAAACACTTTAGCGAGAAACTGCAGAACTGGAATTAATTTTCAAACTGGACATCAACAAATTAGGCCTGAATAAAAATGGGAGTGGCTGGGTCACTACAAAAAGTAATTTTCTCTCTGTTGATACTCACACCTTCTTCTCAACTCTTGGGAATTGGCCATTTCCACCTTGATTGAATTGGCCTCATTAGCACTGACCCCCCACTTTCTCAGGCAACTCCCATCTTTTCATGTGCTGTAATATATATACTGCCTAATGTATTTTTCACTCCATGCATCTGATGAAGTGGGTTTTAGCCCACGGAAGCTTATGCTTAAATGAATTTGTTACTCTCTAAGATGCCACAAGGACTCCTCATTGTTTTTGCGGATACAGACTAACACGGCTCCCACTCTGAAATGATTAATGAAAGGAGGGAAGCCCCTGACATTAACTTGGGAAAATGCCACAAACAGGATTTTGTAAACATAAAACCATGAGCAAAACACTTACCCCAAAGTATGTTGGGCAGTGTCTTTTGCTTCAACTTCTTGAGTCCAGCCACTAAAAGTTCATGTCTGGTGCCCCTTCCTGCTCCCTCCACTGCACCCCACTCACAGTGATTGTCCTTGGTTAGTGAAGCAACCTCCGAAATGCCGCTGAGAAGCAGCAATGTCAAGAAGCCTCACCGCCGAAATGCCGCTGCTTCTCGGCGGCATTTCGGCGGCGACACCTCTTGATTTCGCTGCTTCTCGGTGGCATTTCGGCAGTGATGCCTCTTGATGCTGGTGCTTCTTGGCGGCATTTCGGCGGCGACGCTCCTTGTCGTTGCCGCTTCTCAGTGGCATTTCGGCGCTGCTTGTCCAGTGCTCACACTCCTCGGCCCCATTTCGGCGGCTAGTCGTCTGGTGCCCACCACAGTGAAAGGTTGGGGACCACTGACTTAAACCAAAAAAACCCTGCCAATGGAGCATTCATTAACTCGATCTTTGAAGAGTGGTGAGGGACAGATTAAACCATGTATAGACCTCTTACACAGAGCCCACACCCCTCAGAAGAAACACCCATCTCCACCCCCTCTCACTATTGATAGGTCTCTGGTGTCTGAGCCCCCTGGTTAGTGAGTTCAGTTCAGTTGTGGGTGACCCCCTCAGTCAGGGCAGGCTAAGCACAGTTCTGCTGCCCTTTACTCAGACAATCAGGGCAACAACATTTCACTACCTCTGCATTCAACTACAGTGAATTGTAACCCAGAACCAGCCAACACAGCTCTGTCTGCTGGATACCTAGGCAGTGTGGGTGTGTTCTTGTAAACACAGTCTGGTCCTGAAACCTTTCCCCTTCCCCAGCTCATCACTAGCTGTCAGGGGAGAGCTCATTCCCACCTTGCTCACCTCTAGCTTGTTCAGCCAGCTGACTGTGTATCCTCAAGGTCCAGTCTTCTAACTGGGCTCTGCTCCACCACTTGTGACTGCCTGTATTGCTGCCCTACAGGCACACTGAGAAGATCAGGCTAAACCACAATTTTGCATTTCAGGAATTCCTCTGGTACGTCCAGTCAGGGGTCCATTAAGCTTAATCCAGGATCTGCGTCCCAGGTTGTAAATGGGCAGATACAAGTTATGGCTTCTGAAAATCCATCAGCACTCCAGTCTCTCTGTCCAAGAGTTGCTGCCCCTGTGTGAGGACACAGCTGTCAGCCCAGCTATGTCATCATTCATCTGAGACTGTTACTGCGCTGGCAGCACTAGAGAGGAGTGCAATAATAGTTGACGCAAAACGATGTTCCCAAGTCAGTTGTGGCAAGTCAGCAGGAACCGCAGGGGCAGGTGTTTCTTCAGGATGGGGCCGATCTGCTTGTAGGAAGTGTGCATTGCCTCTGTCCTGATTGGAACCATTGTCAGCCTGGTGCACAGCAGGTTCCTGCCAGCCGTCCCTGTGCTCCAGGCAGTTCTAAGGGGGATGGACTCTGGGTGAGGTTTTCAGGGAGCTTTGCAGCAAGCACTTGTAAATTGAATGCTAATGTCAGGCTAAGGCAACCACTAATGACACCGGTGACTATGTTCAGCTCCCAGTAACCAAGATGCTAATGACAGTGTTTTCCCTGCAGCACTGCAGTGTTGCACTGGAGCGAATACCAGTGCCAGTAGTAAGGGTGTAAATCTGTTCCCACAGAGGTTCCTGCCAGCAGGGTGGGGGGTGATCTTTTTAAGTGCTCTAGTAGGAGCAGTAAGTCAAACTTCAGTCGAGCCTGCCTAATTAGGTGACAGCCTAACTAGGTGACAGATGGACAAGGGGAGTGGACAAACTTCAACATTGGTCACCTGATTAGCCTGGTCAGTGGTGGGGAGCCCTTGACAGGCAGTGGCTGTGTGGAGAGACCAGTTGGATCTGTTGGCGGTAGGCGCTACATTCCCCAGTGACAAGAGGGATCAGTTGCACAGGAAACTCCCTGAGTGTTTATTCCCTCGGGTGTTTGCAGACGCTGGCATCTCAGAAGTGGCTCAGCTCCGACTGGTAAACAGCCCGAGTCACTGCGCTGGGAGAGTCGAGGTGCTTCACAACCATCAGTGGGGAACTGTGTGCGATGACAACTGGGACCTACAGGATGCTGGAGTCGTATGCAGGCAGCTGGGCTGTGGGACGGCGTTATCAGCCCCAGGAGGGGCTCGATTTGGGCGAGGGTCAGACGGTATCTGGCTGGATGACGTCAACTGCACAGGGACAGAAGTTGCCCTCTCCGATTGCAGGGTTCAGACTTGGGGAGAGAGTAACTGTACCCACGGAGAAGATGCCGGTGTTGTGTGCTCAGGTAACTTGCATCCATCACGTCACTGTGGGTGGTGCAGGGATCAGGCTGGGAAGTTTTCAGGAAAGACCCAGCTCGCCTGTCTGAGTCAGCACTGACCCCAGTGCCCCAGCATGGTGCTAATGGCCTGTACTGCAAGGAGCCATTTTGGGTTCACAGTAAGTGTCTCTCTTCCCATGGTATCAGTGCTGACTCCATTTCCCCTCGCAGTTCTACATGTCTGTGCTGCAGGGAGCGGGATGGGGGGTCAGTAGGGGGGTGCTGTCCCCTCTAAGTTACTGCTAGGCTAGTGCCCCAGCACACCACTTAGGGTCTGTGCTTCAGGGAGCAATACGTGTGCCTTTGTGAGAGACCCTCCCGGCTACAGCACCATAGGGCGCTGGGTAACCGTAGATCCCATTTGTGGGATTTGGGGTTGAATGGATCCTGCAGCCACTCAAGGATACCTTTATGAAATGTGGGGTTCCTATCTATGTCACTCCGGGTGATTTACATCTCAGCTAATTACCCATAAATTTGTAATATGTCCCACTGTTGTGACTTGAGACAGGGTTCTTCCTCCCTTCCTCTCCTACACAGATTATGAGTTTCTTTGCCCTGTCTCTCATTTTCTCTGTTCAACCCCACATGGTGGCTGCATGGTAGTGGTGGGGAGTAGGGCTGTCGAGTTATTCAAAAGATAATTGTGATTAATTGTGAGATAAAAAATTTATCGTGATTAATTGTACAATTAATTGCACCTTTACAGAATAATAGACTACTATTTATTTCATTTTTTGAGATGTTTTCTACATTTTCAAATAGATTTAAATTAGAACACAGAATGCAAAGTGTACAGTGCTCACCTTATATTTATTTTTGGTTACAAATATTTGCACTGTATAAAAGAAACAAAACAAATATTATTTTCAGTTCACCTCATACAAGTACTGTAGTGCTATCTCTTTATCAAGACGGTTGGACTTAAAACTGTAGAATGATTTACAAATAATAACCACAATCAAAAATAAAAGAATGTAAAATTTTAGATCCTACAAGTCCACTCAGTCCTACATCTCATTCAGCCAATCGCTCAGACAGAGAAATTTGTTTACCTTTACAGGAGATAATGCTGCTTGCTTCTTTTTACAATATTACCTGAAAGTGAGAACAGGCATTCACATGGCACTGTTGTAGCTGGTGTAGCAAAATATTTATGTGTCAGATGCAGTAAAAATTCATATGTCCCTTCATGCTTCGACCACCATTCCAGAGAACATGCATCCATGCTGATGATGGGTTCTGCTCACTAATGATCCAAAGTAGTGCAGACCAACAAATGTTCATTTTCATCATCCGAGTCAGATGCCACCAGCAGAAAGTTAATTTTCTTTTTTGGTGGTTCAGGTTCTGTAGTTTCCACATTGGGGTGTTGCTCTTTTAAGACTTCTGAAAGCATGCTCCACACCTTGTCCCTATCAGATTTTGAAAGGCACTTCAGGTTCTTTAACCTTGGGTTGAGTGCTGTAACTAGATTTAGAAATCTCACATTGGTTCTGTGACGTTCCCCTCTGGTGTTATCTGGACCGGTGATCTGCTAGGTCACTCCAATCCTTGACTCTGTGAGCCAGCCTTACCCTGCTCTGCTGTGAGAACCCCCACTCCTGGGCTGTTCACACACAGCCTCTGGCAAGTAAGCTGCTCCTTGGATTGTGCAACCGAATGACGCTAGCCAATATTGCCAATCCAAGACATAACCCTAGGAACCTCTTTCTTGCAGTCTCCAGTTATGCCCGCTGGACGCTGCAAGCTTATATGAGTTCATCAACTTAACAAAGACATTGGTATGTACCTGGCTTGTTATTCCAAGGGGAGTCTCTGACACGCTTCAAACCAAACACAGTGCTTCAGGTTGAACAAAGAAACTGAGTTATTAACTATGAAGATAGATTTTAAGTGATTATAAGTCAAAGCATAACAAGTCGGATTTTGTCAAATGAAAGCAAAGCTGTTTTTTCTTTCACTTCACCAACAGGAAAGCTCTAAATCGGTGTTTCTGATCTTAATTGAAATGCCCGTTTATAGTCCGGTTGGCGTGGTGCCGGCAGGGTGCTGGGGTGCAAGAGTGAGTGGGAGCGCAGGCTTTGGAGAGATCTTAGTACGCGGGAGGGGGTGCGATGTGTAAGATCCATGGGACGGTCACCTTGGATGGCTCCCCGTAAGCGGTGACCTGTCCTGGGCTCTGGCTACTCCTAAGCAGAGGCGCGCCAGGTGGCTCTGCATTTTGCCCCCCCCCCATGCCGGCTGCACAGCTCCTATTGACTGGCAACAATGGCCAATGGGAGCTGCAGTGGTGGCACATGCGGGTGGATATAGTGCACCAAGCTGCCTGCCGCGCCTCCACCTAGGAGGAGCTGGGACAAGTTGTTTCTTGTGGGAAGCCACCCGAGGTGAGTGCCCCTGGATCCGGCACCCTGCACTCAATACTGTGCCCCATCTGCCTGCCCCGAGCCCCCTCCCACACCCAAACGTCCTCGCAGAGCCCATGCTCCACACCCCCTTGTGCGCCTCAACTCCCAGCCCCACACTCCCTCCTGCACCCAAACTCCCTCCCTCTTAGTTAACCAGCATTTTTCATTTATTGGCACCCCCCATTCTCCCAACATGCCGGATAAATCAACTTTAACTGTAATAATATAAAGTGAGAACTATACACATTGTAGTCTGTGTTTTAATTGAAATCAATATATTTGTAAACATAGAAAAACATGCAAAATATTTAATAAATTGCAATTGATATTCTATTGTTTAACAGTGCGATTAATTGTGATTAACTTTTTTAATCATGATTTTGTTTTGAGTTAATCGCGTAAGTTAACCGTGATTAATTGACAGGGAGTGAACCCCTATCAAGCTGTTGCAGAGGATGTTGAGACCCATCAGTGGGAGTCGCTATGTTCTTCTTTGCATGATTTCTCATACCAATAGATGTGCGCGCCCCATGCACGATCATCGGAAGGTTTTCCCCTAGCAGTACCCGTTGGGTCAGCTGTGGAGACCCCTTGGAGTGGCGTCTTCATGGCGGTTTATATAGGTCCCTGCTGACCTGTCATGTGCTCAGTTCCTTCTTACCACCAGTGACGGTCGTTGGAGCAGGTGAGTCTCTTGCATTTGCAAGTGCCTACCTAGTTGTTCCCTTTTCTTAGTTGTAGATAGTTAATAGTAGGTTATATAGTAGTTTCTAGTAAGGTGGGCTGATTTTGGGGGCTTTCCCACCCACCCTAGTCTTCCCAGGCACCTGGGCATGTCTCGGTCACAGGGGTTTAAGGTGTGCGCGAGGTGTGCGAAAGCTATGCCCACAAGTGATCCGCACGCTCCTTGTCTCAAGTGCCTAGGAGACAGTATCAGACAGAAAAGTGTCCAATTTGCAGGAGCTTCAGACCCAGGACTAAGAGAGAGCGGGACTATCATTGAAAGCTCCTCCTGATGGAGTTGGCTATCTGCACCCAGCCGGCACCGGAAATGGCACCGGCATCATTGGTGCGCAGCCCCCCGGCCTTGGTGCGGGATATCCCGGCAGCAGGAAAGGACTCCTCCAAGGAGCACCAGCACTGCTGCCCTGCTTGTAAGGCCAGTGCTACCAGGAGGCATCGCTCACAGTCCCCGGTGCTGCATAAGAAAAAGAAGCTGGACAGAGCTCATTCCCCATCAAGAATCCGTGAGGGGATTCCAGTGGAGTGCATCCTGTGGCGGGACACCCACAGTCTGGACCTCAAGACCCGGCACTGTTGACTCCGGCCCCAACTGGAAGCCCGTTGAATCTGATGCTGGTGGACTCCCCGACTTGGGAGGATTTTGAGGAAGAGCTCGACCTCTCCTCTACACCGGCCACCTACGAGGCAGCACAGGACCTCAGTGCCATGACGGCGCAGTCCCTGGCCCCGCAGGTGTGAGCTCTGGCACCGCAAGCTCAGGCACTGTCTACGGCACTGATGACGGCACCGGTTGCATCATCTATTATGTTGCAGCATAGAGCTCCAGCACCGGTTGCAGCACCGATGGTGTCACCACCCCTTGTTCATCATTGCGGCAAGCCCATGATGTTACGGCACTGCTCACCATCACCTTGGTACAGCTCCCTGGCACTGTCGGGCTCCGCCCTCCTGTAGTCAGACACTGAATATTTGTCTGAGTCGGACGCTGAGTCTTCTGTCTCTCGAAGCAGCCAGTACTACTCCCACTCCTGGCACCAGTCCCAGCACTGCAGAGCTGTGGACTCATCGGCACTGACAGTCTGCTGGCTACCCCAGTGCAGGGCCCAGTACAATGGCCCTTTTGGTCTCCTTGGACCTATCATCAGGCTCAGGGCCAGGGCTCCAGGGCCGCATCGATGGCTTCTGCACTCATTTCCCCACTCCCACAGCAATTTTGATGGCCCACCACACACCCAGGGTTCCTGAGGAGCCCACACGAGACAGGGACTCTGGGCCATCACACTTAGGCACAGCGCCAGAACCAGTGCCACCTGTTGTACTAGAGCTACCTCCAGTCACAGGGGGGACTGAGGGACCCGACGCAGCCTCCAGAGAGGCAGAAGGGCAGGAGGACCCTGTCCCATGGAACTCCTCCTCGCTGGACGAGGCTATGGCAGGAACCACCACTATCCTTCCGGTGATAGACACCAGGGGACACCAGGACCTTCTCAGGAGGGTGGCCCTAAACCTGAATCTCCAGGCAAAGGAGGTTACAGAGGAATCGGACCCGATGGTCGACATCCTTGCCCTGAAGGGTCCATCTAGGGTGGCCTTGCCCCTAATAAGAACGATCCAGAACTCTCCTAGGGTGCTCTGGCAGATTCCAGCCTCAATACCACCCACTACTAAAGGGGTAGAGAGCAGCTATTTTTTGCCAACGAAAGGGTACGAACACCTTTTCACCCACCCCGAACCGGGGATTCTGGTGGTCGATGTGGCAAATCAGAAGGAGCGACAGGGGCAGCCAGGTCCCACCCCAAAGTCACAGGATGCTAAGAAGCTTGACCTTTTCAGCCGAAAGGTCTACTCCACTGGGGGGCTCCAGCTTCGAGTGGCCGACCAGCAAACAGTACTCAGCTGCTTTCATTTCCTGGAATTTGTTAGCAAAATTCCAAGAGTTACTCCCGACTGACCCTCACAAGGAGTTTAGCGTGCTCCTCGAGGAGGGCAGAGTGGTCTCGAGAACATCCCTCCAGCCCATGTTAGACGTGGCAGATTCAGCAGCTTGGACTATGACCACCGCCGTTACAAGGAGGCGCAGCGTGTGGCTCCAGGTGTTGGGTATACCATCTGAGGTCGAGAACACAATCCAGGACCTCCCCTTTGACCATGCAGGCCTGTTTGCCCAGAATACATACTCTTGCCTGCATAGGCTTCAGGACTTGCAGGTGACCCTAAAGTCTTTGGGGAATCATACCCCTGCACCCCAAAAAAAGTCATTTAAGCCTCAGCCCCCATCTCCCTTCTACTCTGGGCCTCCGAAGCGAGACTCATCCAGGAGACGGGGCAGGAATAATAGGAGGCTCCCGCCACAGTCCTCCTCAGCCTAAGGCCAGGGTTTGGCCAAAGAGCCCCTAGGCCCGAAGCCAAACTTTTGAAAATGCGCCCGAGGACGGAGCATCAGTATTGAATTTGGATCCTTACCCTCCCTTTGTGAATCAATTCTCCCACTTCTACCGTGCTTGGTCCCAGATCACTTCCGATCGCTAGGTCCTGAGCACGGTATGGGTGGGATATTCTATCCAATTCCGTTCCCTCCTGTTCTCCCACCCCCTTTCCTCTTTCCTCTTCATGGACCCTTCTCACAAACAACTCCTCTTGCAGGAAGTGCAATCACTCCTTGCTCTAGGGGCAATAGAGGAGGTTCCTCAGGAGTTCAGGGGCAAGGGGTTCTACTCCCGCTATTTCCTCCCAAAGGCTAAGGGTGGGCTCTGGCCTATCCTGGATCTGTGAGACCTCAACACATATCATGAGGAAAGTGTAGTTCTTCTTCGAGTTCTTGCTCATATCGATTCCAATAGGTGTGTGCGCACCGCGTGCACGATAGTCAGAAGATTTTTACCGTAGCAATTCTCGGTGGGTTGGCTGAGGCGCCCCCTGGAGTGGCGCTAGATATATGCCCCTGCCGACCCAGCGCCCCCTCACTTCCTTCTTACCGTCCTTGATGGTCATTGGAACTGTGGAGAGCGGCATACCTGACCTCCACATCCCTAGCTTATTCATTGTATTATAGTTAGTTCTTTAGTGCAGTTTACCAGTTTTTAGCAGTTTTAGAGTAGTTCTTAGTAAGTTTTGTGTATATATAGTGTATATAAGTTGAGGAAATGGGGTTTATCCCCGTTCCTCCGCCCCGGTACCAGGGCTTATGCCCAAGTCTCCGGGCTTCAAGCCGTGCTCGGCCTGTCTCAAGCCGATGCCCATTGGAGACCCCCACGACTCCCATTTGAAGTGCCTGGGGGAAGCTCATCAACCTGATAAGTGCCGCATTTCATAGAATCATAGAATATCAGGGTTGGAAGGGACCTCAGGAGGTCATCTAGTCCGACCCCCTGCTCAAAGCAGAACCTAATCCCAACTAAATCATCCCAGCCAGGACTTTGTCAAGCCTGACCTTAAAAACCTCTAAGGAAGGAGATTCCACCACCTCCCTAGGTAACGCATTCCAGTGCTTCACAACCCTCCTAGTGAAAAAGTTTTTCCTAATATCCAACCTAAAAAATAATAATCCCCAAATGCCCCTCTCAAGGATTACAACCCTGGAGTTAGCAGGCCAATGCATATCCCTTTCAACCCTCGGACAAAAAAGGAGCGGGACTTTCATCTAAAACAGCTCCTGATGGAAAAGGCACTTAGCCCAGTGCCCCCAGCACCGCGCGCAGAAGAGGCACTGTCAGTCCGCAGCGCACCTCCGGCACCAGAGCAACCCAGCACCAGCAAGGTCCCTCGGCACTGGACGTCTCCGGCACCGGTACAGACGCAGCACCGCTCGCTGTCTCCACAGCCCAAGAAGCAGCACAAACCACCTGCTGCTGCTCCTCCGCAGTTGCAAGCACCAGACCACACCGCGAAGGCGCCAACTCCAGCACCATCGATTCCGGCACCTCAAGCGCCATTGAGTCCGGTGCATATAAGCTCCCCGGTGCACACCGTGGTTGAGCTGGGCCTGCCGTCCACTCCAGAGACCTTCTCCACTGCTCGCGACCTGATCGTGCTGACTGAGCCTGGACCGTCTCACCCTCCGGCACCACCGGTGCGGACTGTCCCATCCATAGGGAAGCCTGCCTTCATGAGACCTCCATCGCAGGGTGAAACAGCTCGGCACCGCTCTTGATCATGGTCCAGGTCGTGGTTCCGGTCCCGTAGATGGTCCCGGTCTCTGTGCCGCTCGCATTCTCGGCGCCGGTCGTACTCGTGGCACCACTCCACCTCTACTCCTACCGCCTGAACAGGCTGATGTCCCTACTGACGTGGACCTAGGGCAACCGGACCCTCCTCAACCTGACCTTCCCCAGCTCCCGGCACCGATCCAGCTCCCGGCACCGATCCCGGCACCATTCATCGCGCAGCCAGTCGCGGCACCGCCCGCACTGTCTGTCTTTGTCCAGATCTAGATCGACCTCCAGCACCGTTATGACCATCGGTCCCGCTCCCAATCATGGTACCGCTCGGGACACTGGCACTGGTCCCCAGGACCCAGACGCGGACCGGTAGACCATGACGGTTCAACACACCAAGTGTGTTCGGCACCGCCTTGGCCTTCTCGTCTGAATTCGGCGGCGTCCCAAGCGGCAAGTGGCTACAATGTCCAGGGCCAGGATGCGGATGGCGCTAGCCAGGGGCCAGATGGAGGGCACGATCCCGACCAGGGTCCCCCACAATGGTCCTTCTGGACCCCTTGGGCATACCACCAAGCCCAAGGTGGCCCCTCAGGCGCTTCCCGCTTGGCTCATTCGGAGCCTAGGGTACCTGAAGCAACAGTTAGCCATCCTCCCCCTATAACTTCAGAGGCGACCGCCCTACCGCCTGAACAGGATGATGTCCCTACGGATGTGGACCTAGGGCAACCGGACCCTCCTCAGCCTGACCTTCCCCAGGACCCACTAGTCCAGGGATTGTCCTCCTCATCCTCGCCTGACGAAGCTGTGGCAGGCACGTCCTCTTCTGGCCGTCCACCTATAGATCTTTGTGCTCACCAGGACCTACTTCGTAGGGTGGCACAGAACATGAACCTGCAGGTGGAGGAGGTGACGGAAGTTGAGGACCCTGTGGTGGACATTTTGTCGGCCAACGCCTCCAAGTGGGTAGCGCCAATTCCTCTTGTTTTGGACTACCTGTTATACCTCAAGCAGCAGGGGTTGGCAATATCATCTCTCAGGGTACATCTGGCTGCCATTTTGGCCTTCCACCTGGAGGCAGCGGGTAGGTCGCTTATGGTGCACTCTACGAGAGCACAGGCATCATCCGCAGCATTCCTGGCGCAGGTCCCTATCCAGGAAATATGCAAGGCAGCAACGTTGTCCTCTGTCCACACCTTCACATCACACTACACCATTACCCAACAGACAAGGGACGATGCAGCCTTTGGCAGGGCAGTCCTGCATTCCTCAACCAGGTGAACTCCAACCCCTCCCCAAGGGAAACTGCTTGGGAGTCACCTATTGGAATGCACATGAGCAATCACTCGAAGAAGAAAAACGGTTACCTACCTCTCGTAACTGTTGTTCTTCCAGATGTGTTGCTCATGTCCATTCCAAATCCCACGTGCCTCACCTCTGTCAGAGTATTCTGGCAAGAAGGAACTGAGCAGGCAGTGGGTCGGCAGGGACCTATATACACCGCCATGAAGATGCCACTCCAGGGGTCTCCACAGCCCACCTGATGGGTACCGCAAGGGGAAAAAACCTTCCAGCGATCATGCACGCAGCATGTGCACACCTTTTAGAGTAGACATGAGCAACACATCTCGAAGAAAAACAGTTCTGAGAGGTAGGTAACCATTTTTTCATCAGTATCACTAGTGATCGGATGTACAGAAAACTCCCTGAGTGTTTATTCCCTTGGGTGTTTGCAGACTCAGGCATCTCAGAAGTGGCTCAGCTCCGACTGGTGAACGGCCCAAGTCGCTGCGCTGGGAGAGTCGAGGTGCTTTACAACAAGCTCTGGGGAACCGTGTGTGATGACAGCTGGGACTTACAGGATGCCGGAGTCGTGTGCAGACAGCTGAGCTGTGGGACGGCATTATCAGCCCCAGGAAGGTCTCGATTTGGGCAAGGATCTGATCCTATATGGCTGGACAATGTTCACTGCACAGGGACAGAAGCTGCCCTCACCGATTGCAGGGCTCAGACTTGGGGAGAGAATAACTGTACCCATGGAGAAGATGCCGGTGTTGTGTGCTCAGGTAACCTTCATCTACCACCATCCATGTTACAGGGAGCATGGTGGGAAGCTCATTACGGGGCATTGTCCCCTCACAGCCAGAGCTGACCCCAGCATGGTGCTTGGGGCCTGTGCTTCAGGGAGCAATATGGCGGTTCCAGTAGGGAGCGCTCTCCTCTCAGTCTGTGCTGACCCTAATTCCCCTGTGCAGTTCTATTGGCCTGTGCTTCAGGGAGCAGTGTGGGGGCTCAGGAGGGGACACTGATGCTGTCCCCTTGAAGTCAGTGCTGGCCCCAGAGCCCTAGTGGGGTGCTATGGGGCCTTTGCTGCACGTAGGGTGGTGTTAGAAGGGGGCTCTCTCCATTTGGAGATTTGCTGGCCCTAATGCCCCAATGCAGTGCCATGGGCCCTTAGCATGTGGAAGCCTTGTCTGTGCCCACTGGGGGACAGCTCCCTGACTCCCTCGGCCACAGGCCACACAAACTGTGCCCTCTAGGACTTGGGGAGTGGGGTGACCTCTTTCCAGGTTGGCAATAGACACACTTCACCCCTCAGTCCTCCAAGCGCCCCCCTGCAGTACCCAGTCCCTGTCGTGCTGGTCATTCACAGCAGTCACAGACCTGCTGCTCCCAAAGAACCCAAGGTGACCAGCTCCACTTCCCATCTCTGCCCCAATCAACACAGAGCTCTTGATCCCTTCATAGTCACACCAAGTACAAGTGATTTCACAGAGTGTAGAGATTCGAGGGGTACCAAGGAGAAGGGTTGGAAAGAAATGTTTCCATGGCCAATAAAATCATTCCATGCTGAAAGAAGAACGGGAGTACTTGTGGCACCTTAGAGACTAACAAATTTATTAGAGCATAAGCTTTCATGGACTACAGCCCACTTCTTCGGATGCATATATGTATATATATATGATATATGCATATGATATATGCATCCGAAGAAGTGGGCTGTAGTCCACGAAAGCTTATGCTCTAATAAATTTGTTAGTCTCTAAGGTGCCACAAGTACTCCTGTTCTTCTTTTTGCGGATACAGACTAACACGGCTGCTACTCTGAAACATTCCATGCTGACTAGATCCTAGACTCATTGAACGAGATACTTTTCTGTCTGGTAGAGCAATGCTCACCCCACAGTCCTTCCAGGGTTTTACTCCAGGTTTGGCTGTGATCCCCTGTTCCTGAGACAAACGCTATCAGCTGCCTTCTCAGTGAAAGGGACCTCTTGTCCCCTCTTCTCTTTCTTTGTAGGTACAGACCATTGTCTCTTCCCAGAGAAGAGTTCTCTTCAGAGACTTTTGTTGAGGGTCCTTTGTCAATTTTTTTTAAAAATGGAGCTATACCTATCTCATAGAACTGGAAAGGACCTTGAAAGGTCATTAAGTCTAGTCCCCACCCTTCACAGCAGGACCAAGTACTGTCCCTGACAGATTTTTTTGCCCCAGATCCCTAAATGGCCCCCTGAAGGATTGAACTCACTATCTTAGGTTTAGCAGGGCAATACTCAAACCACTGAGATATCCCTCCTCCTCCCATTCTCAAACTCCCATTGGGACCACACAGTGAATATAGCCTGTCTCCACAGCTGTGCTTTGTTCTATGTGCTGATTGGCTCAGCCGAAGGGATTGCCATGGCACAGGTGACACACTTCTTTTAAACACTTCTGGAGCATCATATTCTACATTTTACATCTCTCTTCAACTATGTCCCATACAAACATCTTGCCCCCATTAGGTCAACCAGTGGACTGCTGCAGTTTAGTTGTGGGTGGCCCCCTCAGTCAAGGCAGGTTAAGCACAGTTCTGCTTCCCTTTTCTCAGACAATCAGGACAACAACATTTCACTACCTCTGCATTCAAGTACTATAGTGATTTGTAACCCAGCACGAGCCAACACAGCTCTGTCTGCTGGATACCTAGGCAGAGTGAATGTATTCTTGTAAATACAGTCTGGTCCTAAAGCCTTTTCCCCGCCCCAGCTCATCAGTAGCTGTCAGGGGAGAACTCATTCCAAACTTGCTTACCCCTACCTCAGACGTGGGCAAACGTTTTGGCCCGAGAGCCACATCTGGGTGGCTCAGGGAAGGGGGTTCGGGTGTATGAGGGAGTGCAGAGTGCGGGAGGGGGCTTAGAGCAGGGGGTTGGGGTGCAGGAAGGGTGTGGGGTGCAGCAGGGGGCTGAGGGCAGGGGGTTAGGTGCAGGAGGGTGCAGGAGGATGCCTAACCTACTGAGGAGGGCTTTAAACTAGGTTCACCGGGGGAAGGAGACCAAAGCCCTGAGGTAAGTTGGGAAATGGGTTACCGGGAGGAAGCACGAGCAGGAGAGTGTAAGAGGGGAGGACTCCTGTCTCTGAGAAAGCAGGACAATTGGTGAGTTATCTTAAGTGCCTATACACAAATGCAAGAAGCCTGGGAAACAAGCAGGGAGAAATGGAAGTCCTGGCACAGTCAAGGAACAATGGTGTGATTGGAATAACAGAGAGTTGGTGGGATAACTCACATGACTGGAGTACTGTCATGGATATAAACTGTTCAGGAAGGACAGGCAGGGCAGAAAAGGTGGGGGAGTTGCATTGTATGTAAAAGGGGAGTATGACTGCTCAGAGCTCCGGTATGAAACTGCAGAAAACCCTGAGAGTCTCTAGATTAAGTTTAGAAGTGTGAGCAAGAAGGGTGATGTTGTGGTGGGAGTCTGCTATAGGCCACCAGCTCAGGGGAATGAGGTGGACGAGGCTTTCTTCCGGCAACTAGCAGTAGTTACTAGATCACAGGCCTTGGTTCTCATGGGAGACTTTAATCACCCTGATATCTGCTGGGAGAGCAATACAGCGGTGCACAAACAATCAAGGAAGTTTTTGGAAAGTGTAAGGGACAATTTCCTGGTGGAAGTGCTGGAGGAACCAACTACGGGCAGAGCTCTTCTTGACCTGCTGCTCACAAACTGGGAAGAATTAGTAGGGGAAGCAAAAGTGGATGGGAACCTGGGAGGCAGTGACCATGAGATGGTCGAGTTCAAGATCCTGACACAAGGAAGAAAGGAGAGCAGCAGAATACGGACCCTGGACTTCAGAAAAACAGACTTTGACTCCCTCAGGGAACTGACGGGCAGGATCCCCTGGGAGAATAACATGAGGAGCAAAGGAGTCCAGGAGAGGTGGCTGTATTTTAAAGAATCCTTATTGAGGTTGCAGGAACAAACCACCCGAAGTGTAGAAAGAATAGTAAATATGGCAGGCGACCAGCTTGGCTTAAAAGTGAAATCCTTGCTGATCTTAAACGCAAAAAAGAAGCTTAGAAGAAGTGGAAGATTGGACAAATGACCAAGGAGGAGTATAAAAATATTGCTCAGACATCCAGGAGTGAAATCAGGAAGGCCAAATCACACTTGGAGTTGCAGCTAGCAAGAGATGTTAAGAGTAACAAGAAGGGTTTCTTCAGGTATGTTAGCAACAAGAAGAAAGTCAAGGAAAGTGTGGGCCCCTTACTGAATGAGAGAGGCAACTTAGTGACAGAGGATGTGGAAAAAGCTAATGTACTCAATGCATTTTTTGCCTCTCTCTTCACAAACAAGGTCAGCTCCCAGACTGTTGCACTGGGCAGCATAGTATGGGGAGGCAGAGATCAGCCCTCTGTGGAGAAAGAAGTGGTTTGGGACTATTTAGAAAAACTGGATGAGCACAAGTCCATGGGCTGGATGCGCTGCATCCAAAGGTGCTCAAGGAGTTGGCGCATGTGATTGGAGAGCCATTGGCCATTATCTTTGAAAACTCATGGTGATTGGGGGAGGCCCCGGATGACTGGAAAAAGGCTAATGTTGTGCTCATCTTTAAAAAAGGGAAGAAGGAGGATCCCAGGAGTTACAGACCAGTCAGCCTCACCTCAGTCCCTGGAAAAATCATGGAGCAGATCCTCAAGGAACCAATTCTGAAGCACTTAGAGGAGAGGAAAGTGATCAGGAACAGTCAGCATGGTTTCACCAAGGGCAAGTCATGCATGACTAACCGAATTGCCTTCTATGAGGAGATAACTGGGCCTCTGGATGAGGGTAAAGCAGTGGATGTGTTATTCCTTGACTTTAGCAAAGCTTTTGATACAGTCTCCAACAGTATTCTTGCCGGCAAGTTAAAGAAGTATGGGCTGGATGAATGAACTATAAGGTGGATAGAAAGCTGTCTAGATTGTCGGGCTCAACGGGTAGTGATCAACGGCTCCATGTCTAGTTGGCAGCTGGTTTCAAGTGGAGTGCCCCAAGGGTCGGTCCTGGGGCCGGTTTTGTTCAATATCTTCATTAATGATCTGGAGGATGGCGTGGACTGCATTCTCAGCAAGTTTGCAGATGACACTAAACTGGGAGGAGTGGTAGATACGCTGGAGGGAAGGGATAGGATACAGAGGGACACAGACAAATTAGAGGATTGTGCGAAAAGATACCCGATGAGGTTTAATAAGGACAAGTGCAGAGTCCTGCACTTAGGACGGAAGAATCCCATACACTGTTACAGACTAGAGACCGAATCTGCAGAAAAGGACCTAGGGATTACACTGGACGAGAAGCTGGATATGAGTCAACAGTGTGCCCTTGTTGCCAGGAAGGCTAATGGCATTTTGGGCTGTATAAGTAGGGGCATTGCCAGCAGATCGAGGGATGTGATTGTTCTCCTCTATTCAACATTGGTGAGGCCTCACCTGGAGTACTGTGTCCAGTTTTGGGCCCCACACTACAAGAAGGATGTGGAAAAGTTGGAAAGAGTCCAGTGGAGGGCAACAAAAATGATTAGGGGTCTGGAGCACATGACGTATGAGGAGAGGCTGAGGGAATTGGAATTGTTTAGTCTCCAGAAGAGAAGAATGAAGGGGGATTTGATAGCTGCTTTCAACTTCCTGAAAGGTTGTTCCAAAGAGGATGGATCTTGACTGTTCTCAGTGGTACCAGATGACAGAAGAAGGAGTAATGGTCTCAAGTTGCAGTGGGGGAGGTTTAGGTTGGATATTAGGAAACACTATTTCACTAGGAGGGTGGTGAAGCACTGGAATGGGTTACCTAGGGAGGTGGTGGAACCTCCTTCCTTAGAAGTTTTTAAGGTCAGGCTCGAGAAAGCCCTGGCTGGAATTATTTAGTTGGGAATTGCTCCTGCTTTGAGCAGGAGGTTAGAATCATAGAATCATAGAATATCAGCGTTGGAAGGGACCTCAAGAGGTCATCTAGTCCAACCCCCTGTTCAAAGCAGGACCAATTCCCAACTAAATCATCAGGTTGGACTAGATGACCTCCTGAGGTCCCTTCCAACCCTGATATTCTATGATTCATGAGGTGCTACAGGGTGCTCGGGGCAGTGGGTTGGGGTGCAGGATGGGTGCGAGGTGTGGCAGGGGTTTGGGGTGCAGGCAGCGTGAGGTGGGGGTTCAAGGTGCGGGCTCCTGCTGGGGGATGCTTACCTGGAGTGGCTCTGGTGTGTCTGCGGCGTGCACCAGAGCTAGGGAGCCTGGTTGCTCTGGCTCTGCACTGCATCGCACTGCTCCTGGAAGTGCATGGCACTATGTCCCTGTGGCCCCTGGGGGATGGCAGAGGGCTCCAAACGCTGCCCTCGCCTGCGTGTACCTCCCCTGACTCTCCCATTGGCCGTAATTCCCTGTTCCTGGCCAATGGGAGCTGTGGGGGGAAGTGCCTACAGGCGAGGGCAGCACTTTGAGCCCTCTATCACCCACCTCACCCTCAGGGGTCACAGGGACGTGGTGCTGGCCACTTCTGGGAGTGGTGCGAAGCCAGTGGCGCTATGGGGATGGCAATCCCATGGGCTTGAACCAAAGCCCTGACAGGCCGGATCCAGCCCACGGGCTGTAGTTTGCCCACCCCTGCTCTAGCTTGTTCAGCCACCTGACTGTGTATATGTTCATCTGACTGTGCATCCTCAAGGTCCAGTCTTCTAACGGGGCTCTCCTCCACCACGGGGGACTGTCTGTATTGCTGTCCCACAGGCACACTGAGAAGATCAGGCTAAGCCATGTTTCTGCATTGCAGCAATTCCTCTGGCCAGTCCAATCAGTGGCCAATTAAGCCTAGCCCAGGATCTGCATCCCAGGTTGAAAATGGGCAGATACAAGTTAGGGCTTCTGAAAATCCATTAGCACGCCAGTCTCTCTATCCCAGAGTTGCTGCCCCTGTGTGGGGACACAGCTGTCAGCCCAGCTCTGCCATCATTCATCTGAGACTGGTTCTGGGCTGGTAGCACTAGACACGAGTGCAGCAATGGCTGCCACAAAACGATGTTACTAAGTCAGTCGTGGCAAGTCAGGAGGAACCGCAGGGGCAGGTGTTTGCTTCAGGAGGGGGCCGATCTGCTTGTAGGAAGTGTGCAGTGCCTCTGCACAGGCAGTTCTAGGGGGGATGGACTCTGGGTGAGGTTTTCAGGGAGCGATGGAATTCGATGCTGATGTCAGGCTAAGGCAACCACTAATGACATGGGTGACTGTGTTCAGCTCACAGTCACCAAGATGCGTATCCCAGCGTCTGCCCCACAGCACTGCACAGTATCACACTGGAGCGAATACCAGCGCCAGGAGTGAGGGTGTAAATTTGCTCCCCAGGAGGTTCCTGCCAGCAGTGCAGGGGATGATCTTTCTAAGTGTTCTAGTGGGAGCAGTAGGACAGACTGCCGTCCAGTCTGCCTAACTAGGTGACAGCTTATCTAGGTGACAGCTGGCTAGGAGGGGAGGGGACAAACTTCAACATTGCCCAAATGATTAGCCTGGTCAGTGGTGGAGAGACCCTGACAGGTAGTTGCTGTGTGCAGAGACTCGACAGGCGCTACGTTCCTCAGCGACACAAGAGATCAGATGCACAGGAACCTCCCTGAGTGTTTATCCCTTGGATGTTTGCAGATGCTGGCATCTCAGGAGTGGCTCATCTCCGACTGGTGAATGGTCCAAGTCACTGCGCTGGGAGGGTTGAGATGCTTCACAACCAGCAGTGGGGAACCGTGTGTGATGACGGCTGGGACTTACAGGATGCCGGAGTTGTATGCAGGCAGCTGGGCTGCGGGACGGCGTTATCAGCCCCAGGAGGGGCTCGATTTGGGAGAGGGTCAGACCGTATCTGGCTGGCTGACGTCAACTGCACAGGGACAGAAGTTGCCCTCTCTGATTGCAGGGCTCGGCCTTGGGGAGACAATAACTGTACCCACGGAGAAGATGCCGGTGTTGTGTGCTCAGGTAACTTGCATCCTTCACGTCACTGTGTATTGTGCAGGGATCACGCTGGGAAGCTTTCGGCAGAGACACAGCTCTCCTGTCTGAGTCTGCGCTGACCCCAGTGCCCCAGAATGGTGCTAAGGGCCTGTACTGTAAGGAGCTGTTTCAGGGTCACAGTAACTGTCGCTCTTCCCATGGTATCCCCATTTTCCCCACATAGTTCTACATGCCTGTGCTGCAGGGAGCAGGATGGGGGCTCAGTAGGGGGTGCTCTGCCCTCAAAGTCAGTGCTGGTCCCAGTGCCCCAGCACAGCACTTAGGGCCTGCGCTGCAGGGAACAGTACATGTGCCTCTGTGAGAGACCTTTCCCGTCGCTTATTGCTCTGATCCCCCTGCCCCACTACAGCACAATAGGGCTAGGATCTGTTTATGAAGTGTGGGGTTCCTATCCCCTTCACTCCAGGTGATTTACATCTCGGCTAATTACCCCTGAACCTGTAACATGTGGCAAGTCAGCAGGAACCGCAGGGGCAGGTGTTTGCTCCAGAATGGGGCCGATCTGCTTGTAGGAAGTGTGCATTGCCTCTGCCCTGGTCGGAACCATTGTCAGCCTGGTGCGCAGCAGGTTCCTGCCGGGCGTCCCTGGGCTCCAGGCAGTTCTAAGGGGGATGGACTCTGGGTGAGGTTTTCAGGGAGCTATGGAGCCAACACATGTAAATTCGATGCTGATGTCAGGCTAAGGCAACAACTAATGACACAGGTGACTGTGTTCAGCTCCCAATCACCAAGATGCTTATGCCAGCGTCTGCCCCACAGCACTGCACAGTATCGCACTGGAGCGAATACCAGCACCAGGAGTGAGGGTGTAAATCTGCTCCCCAGGAGGTTCCTGCCAGCAGTGCAGGGGTGATCTTTTTAAGTGCCCTAGGGGGAGAGTAGGATAGACTGAAGTCCAGTCTTCCTGATTAGCTGACCAGCTGGATGGGAGGGGAGTGGACAAACTTCAACATTGCCCAAGTGATTAGCGTTGCCAGTGGTGGGGAGCCCTTCACAGGCAGTTGCTGTGTGCAGAGACCTGTCAGATCCGTCGGCGGGAGGCGCTACATTCCCCAGTGACACTAGAGATCAGTTGCACAGCAACCTCCCTGATTGTTTATTCCCTTCGGTGTTTGTAGACGCTGGCATTTCAGAAGTGGCTCAGATCCGACTGGTGAACAGCAGGAGTCGCTGCACTGGGAGAGTCGAGGTGCTTCACAACCGTCAGTGGGGAACCGTGTGTGATGACGGCTGGGACTTACAGGATGCTGGAGTCATATGCAGGCAGCTGGGCTGTGGGACGGCGTTATCAGCCCCACGAGGGGCTCGATTTGGGCAAGGATCTGATCCTATATGGCTGGATTACGTCAACTGCACAGGGACAGAAGCTGCCCTCTCTGATTGCAGGGCTTGGCCGTGGGGAGACAGTAACTGTACCCACGGAGAAGATGCCGGTGTTGTGTGCTCAGGTAATCTTCATCTACCACCATGCATGTTTCAGTGCAACATGTGACTGTGGGTGGTGCAGGGATCGGGCTGGGAATCTTTCAGCACAGATCCAGCTCTCCTGTCTGAGGCAGTGCTGACCCCAGGGCCCCAGCATGGTGCTAAGGGCCTGTACTACAGGGGAGCCCTCGAGGTCACAGTAAGTGTCGTTCTTCCCATGGTGTCAGCGCTAACTCCATTTCCCCCACACAGTTCTATGTGTCTGTGGTGCAGGGAGCAGGATGGGGGCTCAGTAGGGGGCACTCTCCCATCGAAGTCAGTGCTGGCCCCAGTGTCCCACCACAGCACTTAGAGCCTGCGCTGCAGGGAGCAGTTCGTGTGCCTCTGTGTGCCCCGTCGCTGATCGCTCTGATCCCCCTGCCCTGCTAGAGCACAATGGGACGCTGGGTAACCGTAGATCCCATTTGTTGGATTTGGGGTTGAATGGATCCTGCAGCCACTCAGGAATCCCTTTATGAAGTGTGGGGTTCATATCCCCATCACTCCGGGTGATTTCCATCTCAGCTAATTACCCCTGAACCTGAAATATGCCTTACTGCTATGACTGGAGACAGGGTTCTTCCTCACTTCCTCTGTTACACAGCTCATGAGTTTCTGTGTCCTGTCTCTCATCTACCTTGTTCCACACCACAGATGGCTGCCTGGTAGTGGTGGGGAGTAGGGCTGTGAAGTTATTAAAAAGATAATCGTGATTAATTGGGAGATAAACAATTAATCATGATTAAGTGCATAATTTATAGCACCTTTACACAATAATAGAATACAATTTATTTCATTTTTGGGGATCTTTTCTACATTTTCAAATATATTGATTTCAATTAGAAAAGAGAATTAAAACTGTACAGTGCTCACTTCATATTTATTTTTAAGTACAAATATTTGCACTATAAAAAAGAAACAGAAGAAATGGTATTTTCAGTTCACCTCCTACAAGTACTCTAGTGCAATCTCTTTATCAGGAATGTTGAACTTACAAATGTTGAATGATTTACAAGTAATAACTGCAATCAAAAATAAAACAATGTAAAATTTTAGAATATACAAGTCCACTCAATCCTACAGCTTATTCATACAGTCACTCAGACAAACAAGTTTGTAAACAAGATGAAAGCACCATTATCTCCTGCAAAGGTAAACAATGTTACCGGAAAGTGAGAACAGGAAATCACATGGCACTGTTTAAGCTGGTGTAGCAAAATATTTATATGCCAAATGCGCTAAATATTCATATGTCCCTTCATTCTTCAACTACCATTCCAGAGAAAATACGTCCATGCTGATGATGGGTTCTGCTCAATAACGATCCAAACCAGTGCAGACCGACAAATGTTCATTTTCATCATCTGAGGGCTGGTCCACACTAAGCCCCCAGTTCGAACTAAGATACGCAACTTCAGCTACGTGAATAACGTAGCTGAAGGCAAAGTATCTTAGTTTAAACGTAAAGGTACTTACCGCGGGTCCACACACGGCAGGCAGGCTCCCCCGTCGACTCCGCCTACTCCTCTCGCGGAGCAGAATTACCGGCGTCGAGGGTGAGCACTTCTGGGATAGATTTATCACTTCTAGACAAGATGTGATAAATCGATCCCAGAAGATCGATTACTTGCTGCCGAACCAGCGGGTAAGTACAGACATACCCTGAGTCAGATGCCACCAACAGAAGGATGATTTTCTTTTTTGGTGGTTCAGGTTCTGTAGTTTCTGCATTGGTGTTTTGCTCTTTTAAGACTTCTGAAAACATGCTCCACACCTCATCCCTCTCTGATTTTGGAAGGCATTTCAGATTCTTAAATCTTGGGTCGAGTGCTGTAGCTAGCTTTAGAAATTTCCAATTGGTACTGTAATGTTCCCCTCTGGTGTTATCTGGACTGGTAATCTGCTAGGTCACTCCAATCCTTGACTCTGGGAGCCAGCCTTACCCTGCTCTGCTGTGAGAACCCCCACTCCCGGGCTGTTCACACACAGCCTCTGACATGTAAGCTGCTCCTTGGATTGTACAACCAAATGACACTAGCCAATATCGCCGGTCCCAGACACAACCCTAGGAACTTCTGTTTTGCAGTGTCCAGTAATCCCCGCTGGATGCTGCAAGCTTATATAAATTCATCAATTTAACAAAGAAATTGATATGTACCAGGCCTGTTATCCCAAGGGGAGTCTCTGACATGCTTCAAACCAAACACACTGCTTCAGGTAGAACAAACAAACTGAGTTATTAACTATGAAGATAGATTTTAAGTGATTATAAGTCAAAGCATAACAAGTCGGATTTTGTCAAATGAAATAAAAGCAAAACACATTCTAAGCTGATCTTAACACTTTTAATGCACTTTCAAACTTAGATACTTCTTACGACGGGCGTGCTGGTTGCTCTTCAGACAGGCTCTCCCCTTTGATCAGCGCTTCAGTCGCTTGGTGTGGTGTCTTTAGATGTAGGTGGAAAAGAGAGGAAGAGCTTGGCAAACATTTCTCTCTTTTATTATGTTCTTTCTTCCCTCTTTTCTTTGCCCCACCCTCTTCAGGATCAGGTGAGCAGTACCTCACCGCAGTCCCAAACTGACCAAGGGAAGGGGGGTGACTCACTGGAGAGTGCAACAGATCCTTTTGTTGCTGCCTAAGCCAGCATTCTTAGTTCCTGTGAGGCTGGGTTGGGTTTGTCCCATAAATGCCTTGATGAGATGTGAACTATCCTTCTGCTCTTAGAGAGTTTTTCCCTGGGCTTATGTTAAACCATGAGGATACATTTTCAGCCTCATAACTATATACATGAAATTATAACCTGTAACATTATTATAACATTACTGCAACAACAATTACTATAACATCACTATAACAACAAAGCTCAGTGCATCATGAGCTTCCTGAAGACACACAACATGACAAACTTTGTATTGGATACCACACAATCATTTTATAAGGATGAACATAGGAGTGCTGGGTGATTTCCCGAGGTACAGAGGGTCACAGGTGCCTTCTTTACCTTTTGTGAAATTTGCAGTGAAAGTGTTCTTAAAATGAACAACATTTTCTGAGTCAGCATCCGAGACTACTGTAACGTGAAAGATATGGCAGAATGCAGGTAAAATACATAGCAGGAGATACAGAATTCTCTCTCAAAGATTTCAGTCACAAATTAAATTAACACATTGCTTTTTTTAACGAGCATCACCAGCATGGTAGCATGTCATCTGGAATGGTGGCCGAAGCATGTAGGGGCATGTGAATGTTTAGCATACCTGGCATGTAAATACCTTGAAAAGCCACCTACAAAAGTGCCATGCGAATGCCTCTTCTCACTTTTGGGTGACATTGCAAATAAGAAACAGGCAGCATAATCTTCCGTAAATGTAAACTTGTTTGACTGAGCGATTGGCTGAATGAGAAGTAAGACTGAGAGGATGTGTAGGCTCTAAGTTTTCCATTGTTGGGGTTTTTTTGAGTGCAGTTATGTAACAAAAAAAATCAACATTTGTAAGTTGCACTTTCACAATAAAGAGATTGCACTACAGTACTTGTATGAGGTGAATTGCAAAATACTATTCCTTTTACCATTTTTTCAGTGAAAATATTTCTAATCCAAAATATAGTAAAAACTGTTTTTTTTCCAGCACTTCACCAACAGGAAAGCTCTATAAATTGGCATTTCGGATCTTCATTGAAATGCCCATTTATAATCTGTGGCTGGCAGGGTGCTGGGGCACAGAAGGGGGTTTGAAGCGCGGGCTCTGGGAGAGACTTGAGGTGTGGGAGGGGTCTTGGTATGTGGTAGAGGGTGCTGGGTGTAAGATCCAGGGGCCTCTCACCTTGAATGGCTCCCCGTAAGCGGAGACCTGTCCCAGGCTCTGGCTACTCCTAAGTGGAGGCTCGTCAGGTGGCTCTCTATTCTGCCCACCCCCCGTGCCAGCTGCACAGCTCCCATTGGTTGGGAACCACGGGCAATGGGAGCTGCGGGGGCAGTGCCTGCCAGTGGAGGGAGTGCGCCAACCCGCCTGCCATGCCTGCACCTAGGATCAGCTGGGACGAGTTGCTGCTTCCGGGGAACTGCCTGAGGTCACCCTGGATCCGGCACCCTGCACCTGTTACCGCGCCCCAACTGCCTACCCTGAGCCCCCTCCTGCACCCAAACTTCCTCCCCCTTTTTTAACTATCATTTTTCGTTTACCGCCAAACCCCCCATTCCCCCAACATGCCGGATAAAACAACTTAAAGTGTAATAATATCAAGTGAAAACTCTACACATTGTATTCTGTGTTGTAACTAAAATCAATATATTTGAAAATATAGAAAAGCATGCAAAATATTTAATAAATTTCATTTGATATTCTATTTCACAGTGTGATTAAAACTGCGATTAATCGTGATTAATTTTTTTAATCATTATTTTTTTTTGAGTTAACTGTCATTAATTGACATCGAGTGAACCCCAACAGGCTGTTGCAGAGGCTGTTCAGACCTGTCAGCGGGAGGCGCTATGTCCTTCTTTGAGTGATTGCTCATGTGCATTCCAATAGGTGTGTACGTGCCGCATGCATGATCGTCAGAAGGTTTGTCCCTAGCTGTACCCATCGGGTCGGCTGTGGAGACCCCTGGAATGGAGCCTTCATGGAGGTGTATATAGGTCCCCGACGACCCGCTGCCTGCTCAGTTCCTTCTTACGGCCAGTGATGGTCATTAGAGCAGCTGAGTCTCTTGCATTCGCAAGTGCCTACCTAATGGTTCCCTTTTCTTAGTTGCAGATAGTTAATAGTAAGTTATATAGTAGTTTCTAGTTAGTTGGGCTTACTTTGGGGGCTTTCTCCACACCCCAGTTTCCCCAGGCACCTGGGCATGCCTCGGTCACAGGAGTTTAAGGTGTGCGAGAAGTGTGCGAAACCTATGCCCACATGCGATCCACACAATCCTTGTCTCAAGTGCCTAGGAGACGGTATCAGACAGACAAGTGCCCAATTTGCTGGAGTTTTAGATCCAGGACTAAGAGAGAGCGGGACTATCATTAAAAGCTTCTTCTGATGGAGTCAGCTCTCCGCACCCAGCCAGCACAGGAAATGGCACCGGCATCATCGGTGCGCAGCCTTCCGGCCTTGATGCGGGATGTCCCGGCACCAGGAAAGGACTCCTCCAAGGAGCACGGACACTGCTGCCCTGCTCGTAAGGCCAGTGCTACCCAGCGGCACTGCTCACAGTACCCGGTGCTGCATAAGAAAAAGAAGGCGGACAGGGTTCGTTCCTCCATCAAAAATCCGCGAGGGGATTCCAGCAGAGTGCGTCTTGCAGCAGGAAACCCACGGTCTGGATCTGAAGACCCGTTACTGTTGACTCCGGCCCCAACTGGAGGCCCATGTAGTACGGTGCTGGTGGACTCCCCTCCACACCGGACACCTATGAGGCAGCGCGGGACCTTACTGCCATTAGGGCGCAGACCCTCGCCTCGCATGTGTGAGCTGCGGCACCGCAAGCTCAGGCACCATAAGTGGCACCGATGATGGCACCATCTGCAGCATCTATGGCAGCGCCGCATATGACTCCAGCACCCTTTGTGGCACCGATGGTGGCATTGCCCCTAGTTCATCATTACGGCAAGCCCATGATGTTTTGGCACCGCTCACCATCACCTTGGTGCTGCTCCATGGCACTGTGGGGCTCCGCCCTCCTGTGGTCAGGCACAGAGTACTCATCTGAGTCAGACGCTGAGTCTTCTGTCTCTCAAAGCAGCCACTACTGCTCCTGCTCCCAGCCCCAGTCCTGGCACTGCAGAGATGTGGACTCATCGGCACTGGCAGTCTCCTGGCCCCTCCAATGGCAAGGCTCAGTACAATGGCCCTTTTGCACTCCTTCGACCTATCATCAGACTCAGTGTCAGGGCTCCAGGGCCGCATTGGTGGCATTTGCACCCCGTTCTGTCCCTGTGGCGGGGTGACGTCTCACTGGTGTGGCGGCGCCTGCTGGTTTTCCAGGGAATTAGCTCTTTTCCAGCTCTTTAGCGCCCTCTGCTGGCTCAGGTCTCTCCTGCCGCTGGCCCCCGTGTCCCTCCTGGATCCCGGTGCCCTTTGCCCAGGGGTTCTGCCCACCTCAGTGCCCCCTCACTCTGGGTCTCCCCTCCCAGGGGAACCCCGAACCCCCTATCCCCACCTTGACTCATTGGCTACTGCCAGTCATCATCTAGCCCCTATTCTCTGGGGCAGACCACAGTCTGTAAACCACTCATCATCGGCAAGGGGGGTTAGACCTGCTGCCTCTGCCTTTATCTGGGATACTCCTCTGCAGCCCCAGTACCTTTTTGTGAGCCCTTAGCTTGGCCTGCAGCCTGGGACTTTGCTAGGCTGGAGCTCCCCAGCTCCCTCTGCCCTTCCCCGGTGCTTCTTCACCCTAGATACTCTTCTCAGCTTCCCAGGCAGTCAGGTCCTTCTCTCTCTGAGGCTAGAGAAAGTGTGTCTCTCTTCTGCTTCTGGCCCCAGCCTTCTTATAAGTCCATCTGGGCCCTGATTAAACTGACCACAGCTGTGGCTGCTTTATCAATCAGCCCAGCTTTCTCCGCTGCAGCCCTCTCCAGGGCTGCTTTATCCCCTTCAGGCAGGAGTGGGGTGACCACAACCCTACATCCCCCCCCACCAGAAACATCAGTGGCTCGCCACACCCCCAGGTCTCCTGAGGACCCCGCATGAGACAGGGACTCTGGGCTGTCATACTCAGGCACAGCACCCAAACCAGTGCCACTAGTTGTACTGCAGCCATGTCCAGTCACGGGGGAGGGGGAGAAAAAGGCACCTGACCAAGCCTCCAGAGAGCCAGTAGGGCAAGAAGACCCAGTCCCACAGGCCTTCTCCTTCTCCTTACTGGATGAGGCAGTGGCAGACACCACCATCACCCTTTGGTGTTGGACACTTGGGGACACCAGGACATTCTTAGAACCTGAATCTCCAGCTAGAAGCGGTCACGGAGGAGTGGGACCGGTGGTGGACATCCTCTATGGTGGCCTTGCCCCTGATAAGAACGATCCAGAACACTCCTAGGGTGCTGTGGCAAACTAAAGCCTCAATACCACCCACCACTATAGGGGTGGAGAGAAGCTATTTTTTACCGCAGAAAGGGTACAAACACCCTTTCACCCACCCCCAACTGGTAGTCAATGCGGCAAATCATAAGGAGCGACAGGTGCAGCCAGGTCCCACCCCAAAGTTACGGGACACTAAGAAGCTGGACCTTTTCGGCTGAAAGGTCTATTCGACTGAGGGGCTCCAGCTTCCAGTGGCCAACCAGCAAGCGGTACTCAGCCGCTTTCAATTCCTGGAACTCTTTGGCAAAATTCCAGGAGTTGCTTCTGGCTGACTCGTGCAAGAAGTTTAGCGTTCTTCTCGAGGAGGGCAAAGTGGTCTTGAGAACCTCCCTCCAGGCTATGTTAGACACGGAAGACTCGGCAGCTTGGACTATGGCCACTGCCATTACAAGGAGGTGAAGAACGTGGCTGCAGGTCGTGCACTCCACAAGAGTGCAGGCGTTGTCCTCAGCATTCCTAGCACAGGTCCCTATCCAGGAAATATGCAAGGCAGCAGCGTGGTCCTCTATCCACACCATCACGTCACACTACGCCATGACCCAACAGGCAAGGGACGATGTAGCCTTTGGCAGGGCAATCCTGCATTCCTCAAATAGGTGAATTCCAACCCCTCCCCCAGGGAAACTGCTTGGGAGTCACCTATTGGAATGCACATGAGCAATCACTTGAAGAAGAAAAATGGTTACTTACCTCTCGTAACTGTTGTTCTTTGAGATGTGTTGCTCATGTCCATTCCAAATGCCACCTGCCTCCCCTCTGTTGGAGTATTCCGGCAAGAAGGAACTGAGCAGGCAGCGGGTCGGCAGGTACCTATATACACAGCCATGAAGGTGCCACTCCAGGGGTCTCCACAGCCCATCCGACTGGTACTGCTAGGGGAAAAAATCTTTTAGAATGGACATGAGCAACACATCTCGAAGAACAACAGATACGAGAGGTAGGTAACCATTTTTTCCACAGCAACACTAGTGGTCGGATGCACAGGAACCTCCTTTAGTGTTTATTCCCTTGGATGTTTGCAGACTCTGGCATCTCAGAAGTGGCTCAGCTCCAACTGGTGAATGGTCCAAGTCGCTGCGCTGGGAGGGTCGAGATGCTTCACAACCAGCTCTGGGGAACCGTGTGTGGTGACAGCTGGGACTTACAGGATGCCAGAGTCGTGTGCAGGCAGTTGGGCTGTGGGACGGCGTTATCAGCCCCAGGAGGGGCTCGATTTGGGCAAGGATCTGACCGTATCTGGCTGGATGACGTCAACTGCACAGGGACAGAAGCTGCCCTTTCCGATTGCAGGTTTCAGCCTTGGGGAGAGAATAACTGTACCCACGGAGAAGATGCCAGTGTTGTGTGCTCAGGTAACCTTCATCTACCACCCTGCCTGTTGTAGGGTGGAGGGTTGTAAGCTCCTTACGGGGCATTGTCCCCTCAAAGCCATTTCTGACCCAAGCATGGTGCTTGGGGTCTGTGCTTTAGGTTGCAATATGATGGTTCCACTAGGCAGGCTCTCCTCTCAGTCTGTGCTGTCCCTAATTCCCCTGTGCGGTTCTATAGGCCTATGCTACAGGGAGAGGTGTGAGGGCTCAGTAGGGGACGCTCACACTCTCCCTTTGATGTCAGTGCCGGCCCCACTACCCTAGTGCAGTGCTAGGGGTCCTGTGCTGCAGGTAGGGGGGTGTCAGTAGGGCGCTTTCTCCATTTGCTGTTGTGCTGGCCCTAATGCCCCAGTGCAGTACCATGGGCCCCTAGCATGTGGAAGCCTTGTCTGTGCCCACTGGGGGACAGCTCCCTGACTCGCTCAGCCACAGGCCACACAAGCCATGCCCTCTAGGCCTTGGGGAGGGAGGTGACCTCTTTCCAGGTTGGCAATAGGCACACTTCACCCCTCAATCCTCTGAACGTCCCCCTGTACCACCCAGTCCCTGTCTCGCTGGGCATTCATAGCAGTCACAGATCTACTGCTCCCAAAGGACCACGATCTCAAGGTGACCAGCTCCACCTCCCAACTCTGTTCCAATCAGCACACAGCTCTAGATCCCGTTATAGTCACATCTGGGTGAAAGCGAGCTCTTGTCCCCTTTCCTCTTTCTTTGTCAGTACTGACCATTGTCTCTTCCCAGAAGTGGTCTCTCTTTGGAGACTTGTGCTGAGGGTCCTTGGTCTTTGTAAATTCTGAGCCCCCTACTGGGCCCAGACAGTGAATATAGCCTGTCTCCATGGCTGTGATTTGTTCTATGTGCTTATTGACTCAGCCGAAGGTGATATTTTCCACTTGTAGGGGAGGGATATCTCAGTGGTTTGAGCATTGCTCTACTAACCCTAGGGTTGTGAGTTCAATCTTTGAGGGGGACCACTTAGGGATCAAGGGCCAAAATCAGTACTTGGTACTGCTAGTGAAGGTAGGGGATGGGACTGGACTGAATGATCTTTCAAAGTCCCTTCCAGTTCTAGAAGGTAGGAATAACGGAAACGTGGTGGAATGACAGTCACGACTGGAACACAGGTATGGAGGGCTATGCGCTGTTTAGGAAAGATCGG